GGGGGGGTTTGTTCGCGTGAGACCAGAATGTTCTCTAACTGTTTACACCCTGTATATCGTGATTAATTTATCACTGGAAGACATTAACTGTTCACCATGATATATAAGCAACATTTTTCATCGCTTATTACACATAATAATAATTAAACATCCTGATGCTAACCTAAACAAACATAACATAACCTCCTAAATTAGTGTTAAGTTGTTTATTCATCAGATGAAAATAGTGGGGATCTTAATCTTCATGAGATACTATGTATGTATGTATGTATGTATGTATGTATGCATCCACAGTTTCAATACATGTGAGGGTCATGGGGTCCAACCATACAACGACCTGACTCTTGAGCCTAATAGGTGCGGGTCGTGGGGTCCGGCGAGTCTGTGAAGCGTCTGTCGTAGTAGACGTGTGGGACCCGTTTATAAAGCCGTGAGCCTGAGCGAAGGTGTTGCAAACAATCCTCTTAGCTGAGTATTGTGACCCTGAGTACAGGTAGTACATCACACACGAGTCCCAATACTGACATTATGTTGAGTTGCTTTATATGTATCGATCTGGTACACGTCTTCTGGGAGCTGTCGACATGAAGAAAAATATACCTGTATCTGTCATTTAGTAAAGATTGTAACTTCCAGAGTTTTCTTTCCACAACAAATCCATTTTGAAATTAGAATATAAGTTTTATTTATACACTAATGATAAATAAAATACAGTAGTTGTACTCAGAAAAGTTACCGAGACTACTTGGAACACGTCTGTACCGGTATATGAATTTTATAAATTGTCAGCTAACCTAGCCTAACGCTGGATAGGTCAACCGCTAGTAAGCTGACAAGTAGTGAAATGATAGCAAAATAAAATAAAATCATAAAATCACATACATATAACTTACCAGTGATAAAATAGTTACAAGTTCAATCATTTATATGTAACACATAGGAAGCCAAACGTTTGATTATTCACGTTTTGCCATGACTGGGGGAGGCGATACTAACACCCACTCCGAGAGCCAGTAGTGACGCTATCATCGTGGTGGCCGTAGTAGTCTAGTCGAGGTGGCTATCCTGAGCGTAAGTCCTCGACGGTCAAAGGGTTCGGATTCTCACATATTTACGTTATTTTCTTTCTTAACTTTGAATGAGTAAACGCATACACTGAAGTAGTCTCAGAGCATTTTCGTTGACATATTAAATGAGAAAGTATGATATATCCTTTAATGTCTCGCATTACAGAGAAATAACATACGATCCTTTGATAATCCTGGCCCAGGTAACATAATGGTCACAAGGGTAACGGAGGATCATTTTTTGTGTGGTATTTGTCAGCCTGCTGGTGGACTGTGGCTGCACGAACACAACCCCACCCAAGGAAATCCACCAAAAAATTCCCATCAAACAAAACCCGTTGCTAAGAATAGAAGCTGGAAAAACCGTTGCCATTTCTCACCTTCCCGTGTTGTGATGAACCACACTGAACCACACAACCAATAACCATATGATAATATCCATGGGTTAAAATTTTCTTTAGCTGGTAAGATATTTTTCTCCACCAAACGCAGCTTAATTATATTTAATTTTCCTAACATGAAGATTAGCCACCCCAGCTTATTTTGCCAAGATGATTAAACACCCTAACGTTACATAGGGATTAGATTAGGTTAACGTTAGGTAGTTAATCTTAAACTTAGGGGAAATAAGCTGGGATGCTAATCGTCAGGCGCTTTACCGGACTGTCACTAAAAGTTTCAGCCACTACGTCACACAAAAAGTAACGCCTACTACGTATTATTAAAAGTTTCACTTACGTCACACTTAAAGTTTCGCTGCGTAAAAGTTTCACCTACTCGATTTTCTTTTCCACTCTAAGTTCCTCGACCTCTTCCATATCACATAAGAACAGAAGAACATAATATGGAGGAAACTGCAGCGGGCCTATTGGCCCATACTGGGCAGTCCCATTTACACCCAACCCCTATTGCGCATATAAACATCCAACCTATGTTTGAAGCTATCCAGCGCATTCGAGTTAATTATGATATTTGGTAACTTGTTCCATTCATCCACTACTCTGTTTCCAAACCAGTGTTTACCTATTTCGCACCTAAATCTAAATTTGTCTAATTTAAGATCATTGTTACGAGTTCGCTCCTGGTTGGATAGTTTGAGTACCTTTGTAATGTACCCTTTGTTTAGCCCTGACTTCCATTTATACACCTCTATTATGTCGCCCCTCGCTCTACATCTCTCGAGGGAGTGCAAATTAAGGTGCATTAACCTGTCTCTGTACTCAAGGTTCCTAATGCCCGGGATTAGTCTTGTCATTCTCCTCTGGATTCTTTCCAAGGATTCTATATCCATTCTGTAATACGGTGACCAGAACTGAACTGCGAAGTCCAGGTGAGGTCTCACAAGTGCAAGATATAATCTTAAGATGACCTCACTAGTCTTGTAACTAACACTCCTTTGTATGAACCCAAGTACTTTATTAGCCTTGTTACGAGCAAAAACACATTGTTTACTTGGCTTAAGATTCCTACTTATCATTACTCCTAAATCTCTCTCGCAGTCGGATTTCACAATGGCATCGTTGTTCATCTGGTAACTGGTTTCCCTGTTTACATCTCCTATACTGAGTACTTTACATTTGTCCACATTGAATTTCATCTGCCATTTTTCAGACCATTTGAAAAATTTGTTTAGATCTTCCTGTAGTTTTGCGTAGTCCTCGTCAGATTTAATTACACGTCCTATTTTAGTGTCATCAGCAAATTTAATTATGTTGCTGTCTATGCCGATATCTATGTCGTTTATGTATATAATAAATAATAATGGTCCAAGTACTTAGCCTTGGGGAACTCCACTAGTGACGTTGCTCCAATGGGATTTAGTGCCGTTAATGCTCACTCACTGTTTCCTGTCCTGTAACCACGCCCTAATCCATTTTATAATATTACCTTTAATGCCATGTGCTTCTACCTTTCTTATTAGTCTTTCGTGGGGGACTCTGTCGAAGGCTTTGCTAAAGTCGAGATATACCACATCATAATTGTGCCCCTCGTCCACCGATTCGAAAACTGATGAAAAGAATGTTAATAGATTAGTTAGACATGAACGCCCGCTTGTGAAGCCATGCTGGGAATCATTGATAAATTTGTGCTTCTCTAGGTGGTTTCGAATAGAGTTTGAAATTATTGCTTCCAGTAATTTGCCTACAATTGATGTTAGACTGACTGGACGGTAGTTAGAGGATAGTGATCTATCCCCTTCTTGAAAATCGGTATTACATTCGCTATCCTCCAGGATTCACAACCTAATCGCCTTCCCGTGTAGTGTGAAAGTAGTTAAACTTCAGGTGCAATAAGCTGTGGTGTCTAATCTTCAGATCGAAAAATAAACGCAACTTTTCTTTTGAGTATGTTTTGTTTAGTAAGAATGCTCTACATATATATTAAACTAAGACCGTTTATTAAAATTGCCAAATTCACCTCCAGGTTCCGCCTTGTGAAAATAAAATCATCCAGCGTGTACAAGTCTAGCATTAGAGATGACGTCATGTGTTTTAAATGGTGGTTCGTGACTTTAAAGGCTAGGAGGTGAGGTAGGGGGTTGTGAGAGAGGAGAGGAGGCTAGAGGACACAGCGGCGGGAGAGGTTGGTGGAAGGGAAGGTGGGGCGTAGGGGGATGTGTGTAGTGTGTTGTGTTGTCAGAAGAGAATGAGAGGTAGAAGGGGTTGACAGGTACTCACTTTTTCCTAACTTTCTTTTTACTTGGCGTCAGTATGTATCAATGTTTTAAGAGCTAGATTTTCTCGTGTTTTTACACGAGAAAATCTAGCTCTTAAAACAATTAAAAGACGACTAAGTGAAATTTTTTAACTATCTGTATAGCATGATATATCTGAACATTTTTGTGTTTTCATACGCCGAGAGTTTTTGCGTAGCTTGATGACCGAAGAGCCGTTTGCAACTTTGTTTCCAGAGTTTATGGTTGCCTAGCCAATGGTGAGGCAGAATGGCGCATCACAGGCAGGGGAGCGGTTGGGGGACTATGGCTTGATATTCGAGAGCCAGTGAATTTCAGGCAAATAATCATTACAAATGCAAAGACAAAAACACAGACATCACCAAAAGGAGAAAAGATTGCAAATTGTACCAAACCAAGTATAGAACCTGGAAAACAACGCACTGCCATGACCACTGAGTGAGAAGTAGCGTTGCTAGGTTCCTGCATCACACCCTCACACTCCAGACCCTGATACTGCTCGATGTTCATTGGCGAACTTTACGCTGAGTAAATTTGGGCACACGGAAGCATTACGCTGGGGCTCGAAGCCTCTGACAAACCTTTGGGTGGTTCCTACTTCCTACAGTTGGTTAGGCGCTTCTTCCTGAGTGTTGTTGGCATGAAGGTGATATACCCATTTCTTCTTTTAATTGTGACTACATCTTGGTTGGGTATAACTGAATTGCAGTGCGATTGTTTTGTCATAATGTTGACTATTATACTCACAAAGCTACCAAAACATGATAGCCTTTTGTAAGCATAAATGTATAGATTTTATATACATTTCTAATGTTAAAACTAAGCAGCTATATTTTGAAGTATATGACTTGAAATGAGGTAAAGTTAGAACTAAAATTTAACGACAATAAATAAAAAAATATCCAGATTTATACATGACCCTGAACGTACAGTAAAACGTATCGTACACGTTCTATCCAGCTTATTTGTAATAAAAAATACGATTTAGACTACACCCTAAACTCTTTGGAGTTTGCTTAGAGGTGATATCGTCCAAGGAACAACGTTATAATGTAGCGCACCACAATTATTCAAACTGTGGTAGAGGTTTGAGACACAGCGGAGGGTGGGGTGTGACCGTGTGGGGCCTTGGTGCAGGTCGCTGGTGCAGACCAGGGCCCAGGCAGCTCAGGGCCGCGCGCCACATACAGTACACTGGTCTCACAAGTAGTGACTGTTGTAGATTGTAAACGCGGGAGAGGAGGCCGAGAAAGATGGGTGTTTGGATTTGGTGAGTTTCACTGATACTGTATTAAAGTAGAAAGTAATTGCTGTAGAGGGGGTGGGGGAGTAAGCGTAGGAGATAACGGAGATTTGAAAGTGGGTATGGTGAGGCACAGCTTGGCTATGGAGAACTGTCCTGGCCTAGATTAAGGTAAAACGAAAAAAAAATAGTGTAGGTGGTGAAGACAATTAAATAAGTAGGTGGGGTGAAGGGGCAGCTAAGCGGGTGGATTAGCAGGAAGCAAAGCGTCAGTGGGCGGGATAGAGGGCGGACTAAACAAGTCAGTTACCTAAGATTGTTTGGCAGCGCGGGGTAGCAGCGCCATCGCCAAGGAGCGCGGGAAACCTAACACTGTACTCTACTGTGACAGCGCATAGATTATATAAAAAAAAACAGGTTACTCCAAGTTTCCATAATATCCGGTTGTAAGGTAGTAGATGATATACGATATGACGCCAGTTATAAAAAGGTGGTATTTTGTCTCTAGTGAAATCGACTTAGCAGCCACGCCTGGACCTTCACTCAGAGATATGAAATAATACTTGGGTTTATGTGGTAACCAAATCAGATACGAGAAGTAGTAGTTATTAAGAGAATCACGTTCAGCCTCAATTCGTACTTGACCTTTTTAACAGCGCGATGTGATAATCTGAGCTAACGTTTCCGAATTTGTAAACGACTGTAAGCGGGATCAGTACTCTTGCATGTTGGAAACCTTTCTTGCAGTTTGATAAACATTGCTGAGACACTATCATCATAAGTTGCCTATGACGTTAAATATTAATTAAAGCAAAGTTCCAAAATCTAAAAGTCTTACACGTTCGTTATTTAACTGTATTATATATATATATATATATATATATATATATATATATATATATATATATATATATATATATATATATAAAACTTGGGAACTTGGGAAGCCCCACAGTGGCAGGCAAGTTCACTACGGGGAACGAGATGAAGCAGCCAAAAGGCTTATCTACTCAGAGAAAGTCCTAGAAGTGAGCAGCTATTTTCTGGCCAAAACAATGATCCCAACCACACCTGACCTGCTTCCTCGTCACACAGCCTCTGCTCCCATGCTTCCCAGCCATGGTAAAACAAATCACATTTTCATTGACCCTACAGATAAAATACTTGTACAATACATAATGTTAAACATATAGAGTGCGCTATCACGATTTAAACTACGTTTGTTCATTACAATGCGTGGACCGAGTGAGACTAACACCTCATTGCCGTAATTACCTCTACCAAAACACGAGTTACGTAACATGATGACACTCAGTCACCTCACCAAGTCAGGAAACACCCTTAAGGTACAAATATGAAAATACTAAAGCCGTAACCATAATGCAAATTTATTATTAAAAAAAATAACATTAGACTGTTCTACCAGTCAATGGAAGTGCGCAATTGTGCATGCACCCAGTAAAACGCACACGTATGCCATTTTTATAGATAGATGCAATTACGCATTTATGCAGACGCTTCACACATTCCTTACAAATGGCACCCTATAATAGCAGGAAGTCAAGCTACGCACAACTCCGTAGCCCCCCAAAAATAGGTTATAGCTCCACGAAGGAATTCTTTCGTAAGTAAAATTGCTGAAATGGAAGAACCTGTTGTGATGGAACCAGGCATACAAGGTCCACGCATCACCCAACACAACTAGGACGCTGTGGTCGCCGCAGCCAGGGTGTCTGACATGGTCAACAACACCTGAAGCGCTTCTCATACACATACATTGGCTGGCAGCCAACCTGTACAACATTTCTCTTTAGTGCCAACATCCTGTAATACACTAACCACAAATTTTATTCTTTAGGGCCAAAATGAGCAAACGAAAAAAGGTGAGTTAATGAAATATTAATATTTATCTACTGACTGATTCAGAGAGGTACAACGAGGCATATGTCGTGGAGCGTATTCAAGTATTGGTAGATGGAAGGGGGTAGTTGAACCATCCGGGGGGGTGGACCGTGGAGGTGAAGGGAGAGTGAGTGAAGACGAGGGAATCAGTTGGCGGTTATGATTGGATGCACCATTGCTCACGTCTTTTTTTTCTTACAGGCACTTGAAACTTTTCAAATTTTCATGATTTAGTCGAATGTATAGTATGGTGAAATAAAATCGGCAGGTCGTCAGCAGAATTTACAAATACAAAATTTAAAAACACAATGTGCAGGATGGTAAGTCTCCTACCAGATCACACTGTACCTGCCGACCCCCCCCCCCAAACCTGCTGCATACTACGGTTGTAATGGCCAGCCTGAACAGCTTCCACCCACACACGTATATTTATCTCTCACACACTCTTGCCACTCCCACTTATCCTAAAGCTGATGGTACATGTAATGAAAGAATGACAACAAAAATATATTCCTCATATTAATCCACTGATGTGGAATATTTAAGTGGTATATTTTGTTCCATTGTGATACAGGATACTATACACGGCATAATTAGTAAATACCGTGTGGTGTGCACCACACTGGCATTTTTTGTAACTCGAAACGCTAATGTAATATCATCACAAGCGACAAGCCCCCCCCGACTCTCCCCCTCCCCCACATTTCCTGTCCCGTTCCCCGTTGTACATTATATAATTTCTTATGGATGGTCTGTATCACTGGAAAAAGAACATACAGCGCCCGAGAATTAAATATACTTTAAGGAAAATATGATTACTAATTTTTCACTTGTGAATGGTGGCAAAACCAAGGTTAGCAAGTGAGGCGCACCCTGCGTGCTGACGACAACCCCTAGTCATAGTTGAGTCCCGCGTTCCAACTTTCCAAGTGTTCATTCGGTATGATTGGAAGAATTAGTCATAATTTGAATCTGAAATGTGTCTGCAAATAAACACTTTATTTTAAGGGAACAGTAACCTACTATCTTTTTTTTCTAAAAAAAAGTTGTGAGCAAGAATTTGCCACTAGAGCAGAACACAGGGCTGGGTAAATGGAGGGAGGGTTGGCGAGGCTTCGCGTGGCCATGGCTGCCTCAGTAACGGATAAATATTTAGGTGGTGACCTTCACAATTACTTGCGGCGTACGACAACATTTGGTAGAGGCTCGTTGTTCGGATACTCAGTACTCTTGAATACAGGCACGACTAACAGGTAGCCTAGTCAGCCTCACCAACTTGTGGCCTTGCCACCATTGTGCCACTTTCAGAGTAGAAAAGTAAAATTGATCACTGAGCTCAGCACACATAAACGACTCGCATTTATGATTACACTAGCAGTGTGGTCTCGAGCATCCTGAGAGTAAGTTTAGACGACTAAAAAATAAAAAAATAAATAAAAATTGATACGAATTATTGAAAGATACAATATACAATTAAAGCATTTATGTCATGATGTTTAACTAAAATTTGTCAGTATTTGATATCAAGACCGCGGTCACATAAGTTACAGCTTTTTGTATCGACTTTTACTGATAACAATGATGGCAACCTTTTGATAAACTAATATTAGCTGTAGGGCAAGGTAAGTGTTCTCGCCCCGACTCAGATGGAAGTCTAACGCCTCCCTCCAGCAAGGACAAATCATGCTTTTATATCCAACTTTAAATATACAACAAATAAAATAATCAAGGAAGCTCTTTTTACCAAAAAAAGCTATCGCTCTTATATTCTGAATTCAATGTTTACAGAATACATTGTGTAAAAAATACACGTTGTTAGAATATGAAAATACGAAGTACAAATAAACAAACGGAATAGTGGGCCATAACGAGGCGAGCCAATGTTTACAAACAACGTGGGTCGGTTCCAACCAGTCACTTAAAGCGGATATCACACTCCATACCTATTAGTTACCATGTTATCATACGCTATCATAATTATTTAACATTTAACATGATTGCACACGTGTGTTGGTGTGGGGATTAGTGGATGTCATCATTTTGACCTGACCTCATGTTTTTAGGTCACCCTGTATATTTAAGCCTCTCTGTCCATGTAATCCAGTTGCCTCTGAAGATGTCCCGTGTGATTTTATCAAGATATATATATATATATATATATATATATATATATATATATATATATATATATATATATATATATATATATGTGTGTGTGTGTGTGTGTGTGTGTGTGTTTCATTCTTTCAAACGTTGAGGAAATAGATGTTTGATTACTTGCATCAGTTGAATTTTAAAACAAAAGATAGGAAACAAGACATTAAAAGTTAGGTGTTTTAGGATTAGTTGGTCGGTTCGTTCTGTATTTTAATCACTTGCATACGAGGAGTCTCTTTTTCCCTAATAATATCTTAAAAATGGTCTCTGTGACGGAAGCCATTTTCATTTAACAAAAAGGTAAATCACTATTATGTATTTTCGACACCGGGTAAATAAACTAAGTACTGTACGTACAAGTAATAAAATGTTCCAGAAACAAATTCCCAAATCGATAATGGATTGGAGCATGATAACGTCATTATTAAGTTGGTGTGAGTTCCACACATATGTACATAATTTGTCAAAATAAACAGATCCTGGTTTGCTGCTGAAAGAAACCTATACAAAAATTTGCGTTACGGCGCAGCTCTAAACAAATTCGAGGTACCCGGTTGCGAGGTTATATAAACATATTTTTAAGTTCTGTGTTTTACTAAGTAACTGAAATAATTTTCGTTCTTACTATCTGTTTTAATCTGAAATGACCGTTGTACATCAATCCATAGCAGCGTCGATTATTGCGTGCGAAACCGGTTTTATGAATCTTGTTACAAAGAATCACTATAAACCCGCGTCATGTTGCAGAGAAAGTTGGGAAATTATTTTGTATTGGTCTTATTCGTTTCTGATATATGGGATGCTAGAGAAACTACATTTAAGTACATGAAAAATTGCTTTGTTCCAATACCGAATAAAACTCAAAATGATATTTTACGGAAATGCCTGTTTCTTGAAACTCCTGATCTTACGTGAGACAGTTAATAGATAGTGAATAAAAATCATAAACTAAAGATGCAGTGAGTGTCGATTTGAATAAAGCTTCAAATATGACGTTACGTAATAACAAACAAGGTTATGTAACCAAGCCAGGCGTCTTTCGTGACCCCCCCCTCCAACTCTACCTCTACAATGGTGCCACCTCGCTAACAAATTCAATCGATTTAATAGACCTCATCCATCAAAGTATCACTTATACAAAATACACTAAAATATCATAAAGTATTTTAATAGTATTATTAAATAATAAATGAAAAACCTTGATTGCATATTTATATTTTAATCTGTATGAGAAGTGAACATACGGCAATAGTCTATCCCGGGACCAGTAACGCTGTTGCCAACCAAGCCCACTACGACGCGGAAACTCATAGAGACAAGATGCCTACTACTCGCAGCAGCGGCCGAAGGAAGGCACCTGAGCTTAAAGAGGTTCTCCCAGTGAAAAAGGGGAGAAAGGCACCAAAGTCCAGAGCACCAGGTAGGTGCCATGTGAATTTCAGTATTGGTAATTGGTGAAAATGTTACTTTAAGGATATATGACGCTGGAAGATGTTGCCGGACCCGCGCATGGGATCGCGCATGAGACGCCACTTGGAATCAACTTTAATATTTTATTTATTTTTACTTAAAATACACGATGACATGTCACAATGCAAACGCGAACATGAATAGAATGCTCATTAGAGGTGCAGTGTGTTGAAAATTTTGTGATCTAAGTGTTGATGTGATGAGAGCAATGTGAACAGATAAAGCTCCACGTGGGGGTGTTGTGAAGAGCGGCGGCTGTTAACTTGGGCTCGCTTGCCCCTGATTATAGCCGAGGTACTGAGAGTGCTTACTTGTTATATGAATGAATAGTATACAGGTGACGAAGATACTGAATGATTTTATGGTATTGAATGTTCCTGAATCTATAAATGGATTAAGACAGCACTGCTGGTTAATGTCGAAGGAAGTAGTTTTCCGCGCCAGAATTTTCATTTTACTAAAAACATCATGTCGGCCATGAAAGAAGCTGTCTACAATATCTCATATGTTAATGGTCCAGAATAGCTTTAAAACACGTGGAACAAAGTTTGCTGACGTGAAATATGGATATCCCTTCCCTCGCGAGATGGGCTCACCAGGACTAAAACATGGCCGCTCAACCTTGTGTTCGCGGTCTTGGCTGACACCATTGAACGGTTGTCCACCATTGAACGGCTCTCCACCATTGAACGATTTTCCGCGTCTGGCGGAACGTAAAATATTTGTTGAGTGTTATTCATGTTTTGCCTAATTTTTGCTAAATTCAACCGACATTGCTGCACCTGAGTATTAAACAAACCTTAAATTCAATCGGAATGACAATATATGAGTTCCAAAGAAAATAGTTTGTTGATGTGGATGAACAATTTATACAGTACTAATGTAAATATAGTATTTAGTTGATAATTTATTAGTATTGTCTCCGAAGAGATGTAATGCCTCTAGTAAAGGATAGCTAAGCCAACCTGCTCAGCGTGTTACCGCCTTGGTAAGTGTACATTATCTGGCTGTGTAAGGTTATTTTTAATATGTACCGTTAATATCGCAATTTGAAACATTGTTTAAAATACAAAACATGACTCAACATTGGTCCAAGAGGGGAATTGATTCAAATGTTGGTTCTCCAAATATTGACGGGGAAGTCTTTCTTGAAACAAAATTCCATGAATTAGACTGTGCAACAAAAATAGCCTTAATAAATTTTGAAGAAGAAAAAAAAAAGGTTAGTTAACGAAGTGGCATTTGGCGCCAAATCCTTGGTGTGGGTAGGCGCTCGTGGCGGGAACAATTTAGTACAGAATCACAGTGACGTCATCCAGTTTAAGATGGAGTTTTGAACAACGAACTCACCAAAAACATAGGAGCCCTGCATGAGATCTTAAATATCATACACATACGAACTCAAGCCAATGTAAACTTGTTCGTGAACAAAATTATAGATAGCATTCACACTACTGGTGCGTTTCAACTGACGTGCACACTGCATACGTGCTTCAAACGTGAACATTTACACGCACTTGTGCATATACACTTGAAGGTGTTTGCATACTCACAAATTTGAATGTACTCTACTGAACTCTCATTCCACATTCACGCAAAATATTGCCTACCTACACGAACTAAGGGGAATGCTAATAAAAGTTATCTTTCCCAACCACGTGCACGGCCATGTACAACTATACATTGCCTATGAAATTAAGTGCTAGTATGAGCACCGGTACTATATTTACATGTACAGGTATGTGAACTGCATACTTATCTACACAAGAATAAACCTGTCGAACCTGTCGCAATTGAAATCATGTATTTATTTATAAACTTAGGTGCACACAATTCTTACTAGTAAATAATGCTTTCAAACAGCGTACACGAACACAATCGCGCTTGGCAGTCACACTCGATCCCGCCACCAACCTGACTTAGCACGTGGGAACCAAGATAGCGCGCCCACACTCGAACATGTGGCCGTCACTGTCGAACGTGCACGTGGATAAACTCGATCATGCGTACTTAATAAACTAGGATAAGAGTGCGTTGCATGGATTAGGTCATGGTTAACTGGTAGGAAACAAAGAGTCAGCATAAATGGATTAAAGTCAGACTGGGGTGCGGTCAAAAGCGGAGTTCCCCAGGGATCTGTATTAGGCCCTCTGCTGTTTGTTATATTCATTAATGATCTTGATTTAGGCATAACTAGTAGGATTAGTAAATTTGCAGATGATACCAAAATGGGGAGAGTGATAAATTCAGACAGTGACTTTGACACCTTCAAAGAGATCTAGATACCTTACATGAGTGGTCAGTAGACTGGCAAATGAATTTTAATACTGATAAATGCAAGGTACTGCAGATAGGGAAGACGAATACAAACGTTAAGTATAAACTAGGTAACACGGAAATAGAAAACTCAGTTTGTGAAAAAAGATCTAGGTGTATTTGTTAGCAACGACTTGAAACCTAGAAAACAATGTATTAGCGTTCGCAACAAGGCAAACAGGATTCTTGGGTTCATATCTAGGTCTGTGAGTAACAGAACTGCTGACGTTATCTTGAAACTTTACCTAGCATTAGTGAGGCCACACATGGATTATGCGGTTCAGTTCTGGTGTCCTTATTATAGAATGGACATAGATTCTTTGGAGAGAGTACAAAGAAGAATGACAAAATGATCCATAATATTAGAAACCTTCCATATGAAGAAAGACTGAAAAGCTTAGGCTTACATTCATTAGAGAGGCGTAGTTAGGGGAGATATGATAGAGGTGTACAAGTGGTAAGTGGGATTAACAAGGAGTAAAATGGAAGATGTTCTGAAGCTCAGTAATAACGAAATAACTAGAACAAATGGCTTTAAATTAGATAAATTCCGATTCAGAAAGGATATAGGCAAGCACTGGTTTGGTAATAGAGTTGTGGATATGTGGAATAGGCTACCGAGTGCTATAGTAGGATCGGGGACGTTAGGGAGCTTCAAGACGAAGTTGGATAGGCACATGGAAGTGCTGGGATGGGTGTGAAAGGGATCTGCCCTGTATGGGCGTGGTTACAGGACAGGAAACAGCGAGTGAGCATTAACGGCACTAAATCCCATTGGAGCAACGTCACTAGTGGAGTTCCCCAAGGCTTAGTACTTGGACCATTATTATTTATTATATACATAAACGACATAGATATCGGCTTAGACAGCAACATAAGTAAATTTACTGATGACACTAAAATCGGACGTGTAATTAAATCTGACGAGGACTCCACAAAACTACAGGAAGATCTAAACATTTTTCGAATGGTCTGAAAAATGGCAGATGAAATTCAATGTGGACAAATGTAAAGTACTCAGTATAGGAGATGTAAACAGGGAAACCAGTTACCAGATGAACAACGATGCCATTGAGAAATCCGACTGCGAGAGAGATTTCGGAGTAATGATAAGTAGGAACCTTAAGCCAAGTAAACAATGTGTTTTTGCTCATAACAAGGCTAATAAAGTACTTAGGTTCATATTAAGGAGTGTTAGTTACAAGACTAGCAAGGTCATCTTAAGATTATATCTTGCTCTTGAGACATCACCTGGATTACGCAGTTCAGTTCTGGTCACCGTATTACAGAATGGATATTGAATCCTTGGAAAGAATCCAGAGGAGAATGACAAGACTAATCCCTGGCATTAGGAACCCTGAGTACAGAGACAGGTTAAAGCATCTTAATTTGCACTCCCTCGAGAGATGTAGAGCGAGGGGCGACATAATAGAGGTGTATAAATGGAAGTCAGGGCTAAACAAAGGAGACATTACGAAGGTACTCAAACTATCCAACCAGGAGCGAACTCGAAACAATGGTTTTAAATTAGACAAATCTAGATTTCGGCGCGAAATAGGTAGACATTGGTTTGGAAACAGTAGTGGATGAATGGAACAAGTTACCAAACATCATCATTAACTCGAACATAAGAATGGAGGAAACTGCAGCGGGCCTATTGGTTCATACTGGGCAGTCCCGTTTACACCCAACCCCTATTGCTCATATGAGCATCCAACCTATGTTTGAAGCAATTCAGCTGGATAGCTTCAAACATAGGTTGGATGGATATATGAGCAATAGGGGTTGGGTGAAAAAGGGACTGCCCAGTATGGGCCAATAGGCCTGCTGCAGTTTCCTCCATTCTTATGTTTTTATGAAACACAACCCAGCCCAACAACCCAACTCGACATAACCCAGCCCAACATAATATAATATAACCCAACCCGACATAATCCACCCAGCCCAACATATAACCCAACCCAACATAATATAACCCAACCCGGCATAATCCAAGGAAATATATGTGTTCACTTAAAGAAGTTGTGCACTCGCACACATGCCTGCATATTTAGTATATGCACACAAACGTGTAACAGCCGCCACCTGTGCACTCACACACATACATAAATAGTTCTCATGTACTAAAAGATAAGTCATTCTGACCATTCCATACATGTTTGTGATTATTATTACTGGTTGTGATTATGCTGTATTGAACACTATTCCTGGCCTTTATAACTAATTACTGTACACTATATGGAAAAATATATTTTCCAACAGTTTTTCACCGAGTTGTTTTGGTTTGTCAGCTGATTCAGTGCACCTTTTATGTTTATTATTATACCCCACAGTGAAATAAGGGAGGCATATTTTTCTCTTGTCAAAATATTATGTTATCTCTTGCAGAACCTGAAAAGGCTGAAGAGCCAGAGGTTGTCCCAGAGAAGAAGGAGAAGGAGTCAGCGGCAGCTAAAGGTAAGTGTCAAGATGTTTGGTATTTTAATAAGGTTCTACACAGTATTTTAAATACAGGGGTATAAGATTATTGTGAGGGTGAAGCTTGAACTTCGAACATAAGAAGACAAAGCAACGTTGAAGAGCGAATGGTGTTTATGAGAGCAATTGTGAGGTGAATGAGATGCTGAGGACACGAGATGTAGAAATTAAAAATATATTGGGCTAAGAGTAATAAAGTCTCGGGTAATACAGTTGTGTTGAGGGAAATGAGTGAAAAACAGTAAAAAGTATAAGTTAAAGGTTGGTGATATACAGTAGTGGGTATATATATATTGCATTGTTGTAAGACTTATCCTGATTCCACAATGCAGAGGAGCCTGAGGAGAATGGCGAGGCAAATGGTGATGCAAATGGTGAAGAGAATGGTGTAAAAGAGGAGGAGGCAAAGGAAGAGGAAGAACCCATGGAAGAGGAACCAGCAAAGGAAGAAGAGGAAACCAAGGAGGAAGCTAAAGAGGAAGAAGCTGCTAAAGAGGAGGAAGAGGAAGCCCCAAAGAAGGAAGAAGTTGCAGAAGAAAAAGAAAATGAACCAGAAGCTAATGGAGGTAACAATATTTTGTTAAAACAGGCAACTGTTATTAACTATTGTAGTTAATGCTGTTCTTCCTGTTTTACATCTGCCTTCACAGCCATTTATTATGTTATCCAATCACTAAGCTTTACAAAGTCATTGAATCTTGCAACAACATAAGAAATTGTAAGTTAACATTAGATATGTCGAGGCACATGGAAGGTACTTAATGACGGAGGTTGTTTTTAAGGAAGTCTAGTGATAAAAATATTCTCATAGTGAGGTCGTGGCACATGGGTGTTACTTCATTGCAAGGAATATTATGCATACAGAACTATAAGAGAAATTATAGATTAAAGGGAGATTTATTTAGACTTCAAATTATTTTTTTTAGTAATGACAAATAAAATAGTGAGATTTTATAACCAGGTGCATCTCCAAAGCTCTTGTAATTTTCCATATCGGTAAAAAATGCTGAAGAAATAGAATGTGATGCAAGTATCTTTACTGAACAAGTAAAGAATATTTATGAACATCTAGGAATAGGCTATGAAGATTTTCATGTTTCAAACCGTTAGAATGTTTGAAGGAGACAGTGAATGAGTTGTTGTTAAAATAACTTTGCACATACTGTTGACAGTACAGTAGTTTTATAGGTTCAGTAAAAGGACCAAGGATGTCAATACATAGCTTAGTTAATTTTAGATTGGAAATAGCCAATTTGTTTTGCATTTTTACTTCATAAGTTTAGGTGCATGGTTCTGTCAGTACAATAACAGTCAATTGTGACGATTATCTATTTGATAAGGATAGGATACTTTGAGTAGAGTAACCTGATTGTTTTAGTTGGTAGAGGAATAATGCCTGCCTTTTGTTTTAATAACAGCAGAAGAAGTGGAAGAGCCAGAGGCCCCAGCACCCCCAGCGAAGGGGCGGCGAGGTCGCAAACCAAGAAAGGCCACAGTTGAGCATTGGTAAGTGACAAGATATTCAAATTATGTCATTTACAAAAATAATACCAGCATCTGCTTCAAAAATTTATATGCTGTTGTGCCGACTTTCCAGCCCCTGGGTGTTAATACAGTAAACCCATCAACTAATCCTACATCTTCCATTCATGTTGAAATGGCATCTAAATGTCATGAGACTTACTGTTATTAATGTGCTTTATGAAGGGTTATTGTTTAATATACATTTTTTATTGGTGGGTTGGTTATGGGTAGTTAATGACCAGCATGTCATCTTGTTTAAGTACAGGTTTATCCCCCATATTTAAGGTACAGTTGTGTTTATGGAAACCTTAAAGTAAATTGGGAACCTTTTAACATGAATATCATTGGAATATGTGCCTGACCTGTTGACGCACATTTATGTAACACAATGGCAACCCTACACTAATTAAATAAATTTCAGAAAATGAACATGGCATTTGCCTAAAGTAAATCGCAAGAGGATTAAAATTTATGCAGAAAATCACAAATCGGATATTCATAAATAAGGGGATACCTTGTATTGTACACATGATGTGTACTTATGCATTTAACATTTAGACATCCATCATCATCGTCCTCCCTGTGTGTCCTAACCATCATGTTGTTTATAACTTATAGACAACTCTATACTTGGCTCTCATCCATAACTGGTTTTGTGTGTACTTGAGGTCATCCTAAGTCCTTGACTCTTGTTTCACCATCATGTACAGTCACAGGCTAAGGTTCGCTCCCTTTGGTGACAACGGATTCATGGGAATGAGTCTCTGAACTGACTAATCCTGACTTATATCTTGTTTGGGGTCGACGCCAATCCATATGGGGGGGGACCTTTGACCCCGACTGTACACTCCCATCAAGTTTTTAATTTCTGCAAGCTGAATTAATAAACACATGCAGTATATCGCTTTAGTAGGTCAAGGGCAGGAAGGTGCTGTTTAGTGATTCTTTTGTTACATTCCTGGTAGTTACAGGTATTTAAATTGTCTATAATCCATATCTTCATTCAGCTATATTACACTAGGGTAATTTGTATTACTGCTTTTGTCCAGTCATATCACTACTTCCACAATAATACACACATCTCATGCAGCCAGTCCAAGTTAAATCCTTATTGTATAGTATGTTGGCTATTAGTCTGCCCTTTCAGAACACATGTAGCAAAGCATAGGTGGATTTATTCACTTAAGCCTGAACACATGCAATTCTATTAAGTACTTTTCCATCATTTAACCACCATTTCCTTTTTGATTTGCACATGATCTGATGTGTTATGTGCCAGTGTCTTCTGTGTATTACACTGTGTGTGTCCTCTATGTATACCTGTGAGAACAAAACTACTTTTACCTGGGATCAATAAGACATTCCCTATTGTCCTCATGTCCTTGGGATAATAAATTTTCCATCCCACTACATACCTTCACCGAATTAATCCTAGAACTTTTATCATTTAGCTCTTCCACTTTCACTCTTTCCTATTCACTGGTGCAAGTGTCTGAACATATTGTTTAATCCGTGCACTTCTTGACCCTTTGCAGTCCTCTGTTGTTTTGGTGGAGACAGTAGCCAACTCTCGGCCTATACAGTACAGTACTATACTAGACTCCCCAGTTCATTTACCCTCACATCACCCTATAACCCCTCCCATATTTTAGTTTTCCCTGTGGTTTTACATTTTTTTTTAAATATATATTCTGGTGGTTTTACCTTTTTATTATATTTTTCCGGTGGTATAACCTATTCCCGAGGTTTTATATTTTTTATCTCTATCTTTTATGAAAACCACTTCAAATCAAAATTTCTTGACAAATTCTCATATAGATTTGTTTATGTAAAAATACTGTATGGGCATGAATTCCATGTACAGTATATTAAAAAAGATTGACATGTATATAGTTAACCCTCGAAAATTTGTGAGGCTAGGTTATGCACATTACCACGATACACAAAACTATGAGCAGGTATTATTAAAGTTATGGGGTGTTTCTAAAACATAACATCAACCCTCCCAGTATAATATACATGTAGTATTAAAAATCCAGAGACATGCAGAAATAATGATATGAAGACTGTAGTAAAATTTAAACCACATTCTTAGGCAAATGCGTAACTGATACAGATGAAGTGATGGTGGAGAAGGTTGAGTCACACCTTACACAACTCTGCTCTTATGTTGACCAGTGACATTTTCTGAGTCATACATTGTTTGGTAAACCCAAGCTCAACAATGCTGGGGTTTGGGGGGCACACCTAACGAACTCTCTGAGACTGAATAACTTTCAAATAAATTTGATTGCAACAAAAGATTCTGTAAGTGGTGAAATGTTTAATTATTAACAAATAACGAGAGATTTCTTTTAGCACCTCATGTAGTTCAAACCGGAAACTAATGACAACAAAGCACATTTTAATAATGTTCCACACTGCTCAGTCGTCTTATTCAGCTCTACAAAAACAATATTTTTTAATATGTGGAGGAACTCGTGACTATTGGATAAACAAAGCCTTGAATCATAAATAATCGAGGGTTAGCCTAATATAGGAGTATGTCTCTTGCACTACAACAGTACTGTAGTGATGTAGATTTTTTTCATCAGATCAATATTGTGGCATGAGAGTACAGTATAGTATTTGATTTAAGATGACAGTATTACCTATTCTTGAGCCAAATTATTGATGGTTGTAAATAAGAATGACTTTAATAACATTCATTGCAAAATGGTGTTAGACAAAAAAAATATTCCTTCAATTGTTGGAACTCAGTGGTAACCTGAAAAATTTGGTGAAAAAATCTGACAGTTTTGATGTTATTTTCATAACGTTGGTTAGTGAACACTAACATGTACAATACTGTTTTAGGTACTGTATGTATGACAAGGAGATGAATAATAGCAAATTTATTTGAAAAATTGAATGTTGCTATAAAAGCAGAAATTTTTTTTAGGGAAATTTAAAAAAATGGTACAACAAGCTTTATTGGGTATTGTAACTATTTATTAATCGATAAGCCACTTGTGGGGAATGGGCTCTACCTCCATGGTATTGCTCCCTTGTACGGCTGAGACTACCACATTCCTACATGGTAGGGTCAGCTTAATGTTTCATGTTGTGTTCATGTACAATATGGAACATGTATGTGGTGGTAAAACAGAAAAGTTTTATTTCTTCAGAACTACCTTGGAAACTGTGGGCCTCTGACAAAATATTGAGAGGAGTTTTTCTTACAGCAAATCGTGAAGCGTTTTCAAACGGAATGCCGTTCAGGTGACAGACGGCATCCGAGCTGAGTTCCCCAATATTGTGGTGGAGCTTAACCCTCAGAAGCCTCGCAGTAAAACTTTTGAGGTATGTTCCGTTTGATACGCAAACGAACACATACCAGGGCTCGACATTAATAGTTACTTGATACTGCAAGGCACGTTAAGTCTCGTTCAGGATAGTGGAGTGCGTACTCCTTTTAAGACTTCCCCAAGTGTATTTGTCAGTTTGATAGTCTTAATTTAGTTCCCATAGGTAGATTAAAAAAAATGCAAGTTCACTTTCTCATAACTGGGTGCTGGATCACACCTACCTCTTTTAATTTGAGCTCAAATCCCCCTCCCCAAATGGTAGTGGTTTTATGCATTAGTCTACCAGAAAATTTGGTGGGAGCCCCACAAGTCGTTAGTTACGAAAAAAAATTAATGTTGGGCCCTGCTTCCTTTTGTTGGTGCTCAGATCCTTGTATGCTTATGCATCTTATTTTGTAAACCTGTTTACTTCATTTATTATTGAAATTTTTAGTTAATCAAGGCGTATTTTGCCGGTGAACTGTTTACGTCAGATTTGTAGTGTACTGTAGGTAGTAGTAGTAGTAGTAGTACAGTACGGTATTAAAGTAGTGGTGGTAGTAGTAAAAATGGTGTATAAGAGTTTCAGGATAAACTTTTGTTTAATCACCCCTCTTAGCTTTATCCTTATGGAACTTTGCCCTTACTCAATTAAACCCAACCCAACATTAATCTAAATTCACATGGTTTAAAATGTGACCTAACTGGACTGCATTTGGTGACCAGTTATTCTGGCTGTCATTCATAGTTCTAAGAGAAGTGCACTTGGATGGGTTCACTTGATAACCTAGCATTTTTGGGTCATTAAATGCTCATGATACATCTGTCTAATAACTATTTATCATAACCACAGGCAAATTACAGGGCTTCATAATGATGCTAAACAACTTAGATTTGCCATATTGACATCTAATAACTTTAAATAATGCCAAACGGCTTGCAGTTCTTCATAATCATTTAAGGTGACTCACGTATGTTCAAAATAGACCTTAATGTGAAACAGTTGTTCAGAAAGACATGGTGATTTTTAACCCAGTGTATTTATGACTCCAATTTAAGCCTGCCAGTAATTTAATCATTGCTGTTCAAATTGTGTGGTGACGTACATACTGACTATATATATATATATATATATATATAATTTTTTTTTATTTCTTGGCTATGATGTTACACTTGACATATCTAGTTGCATCCTATTATTTTTTGTTATATTGTGAATATTTGTTTATATACCACATAGCATGTACCTGTACTGTACAATTAAACAAACATCACTGATGACAAAGAAGGCAAAGGTGGGGGATTTATAGGTAATTGTCGAGTCAGTGTTATTTTTAAGGTGTGATGCATGAACTCCAGAAGTATGAAAAAGGTTCAAATTAGATGCAATGAAATACCTTTAGTCTGCCTGGGGGTAAATAGGATGTAGAAGTGAGACGTTTTTGAATAGAGATTAAGTCTTGGTGCACTGGGGTGGTATGAATATATAACAGACTGGTGATAGGGAGTGTGTACAATTCAGAGGTGGGAGGGTGGGATAAATGTGCATCCGGGAGGTATTGGAGTATGTGACTGACTAAGGAATGGAAGAACAAGGTGTTAAGTGTGTGTGTGATTGCTCTTGTTTTCATCCATCTAGTATGAAAAAATCTTGCAATAGAGGGTTAATGTGTAAAGGTGTTTAAACTACAAGTTTTTGGGGACACAAGATATAGAATACAGTACTGATAATTATAAGGAATCGTAGCTTTGACATGCTATTGCAATATTCACTCGGGGATTCTGGTTCTAATTAATTGGTATAGGACTAATTTTGATATCCTGTTCAATTACAGGGGATACTTTGTGTAGTAGGGGTGCTAAGACATACAGGGCATTGCTACTACTAATAAATTTAATAACTAAGGGTAATTATTAACTGGTAAGGATTCTTTCTCTCGATATTGTATAGATAATGTGTATAGTCATTGATATACAGTACAGAGTACAGTATTTTCTGGTGAAAGTACAGTACAGGTTGTTTAAAAGATGAATATGAAGACGAACTATTACACCGATATACAATATTAATCTGGTTCAATAGTTTGACTACCAGTACTGTATTAGAGTTAAGAAGTTGCACTTAAAATGAGTTACAGTATAACTTGTACAAACTTAAGATTGCTGGATGATTTGGAAGAATTTTTGTTGTGGGTAAGTATAATTGTATTTAATTTTCCAATTGGTAAATAAAAAATTCAGTTATTTTGATTAAAGTTTCCAGTATAGTTTATTAAAAAAAAGGCCGAATGATAACTTGAGTTCATATTCCATTCCTCACTTTTTGGAAAACAATAAAGTACAGTACAGTATATTCTAAATTATATAAGTTTTGAGATCCTTTGCCCCCTTCACAATTTATGGTGCCCAAGTTTATGAATTGATGTCAACGATTGGTTTAATTTATTCTTTAAACTTGTTGAGTTTTTGTCATTTGTAACTTTTCTAGAGCATTCAAGGTTATTTTTTTCTCAACAGATCACGATAACCTTTGATGACGGAAAGTCGGAATTGGTGTGGTCTGGTCTCAAGAAAGGGCCCCCTCGCAAGTACAAGTTTCCTGATATTTCAGTTGTGCTTGAGGAAATAAAGAACCAAATGTAAAAGGGACACTGTTTTTATTGATGTAGTTTCAGGTTTGCAACCCTTTGTTGAAGAGATTATAATTGGAATTGGTATAAATCTTTGCAATTTACCAAATTTTTCAGTTCATTTAAGAGAATTGATTCTGATAATTATGATAACTGTTCAGTGGGGAAATTTGTTAATGAATGTCTGTAGTTTACATTTTAAGGTGCAGCTTGATGAACAGAAGTGTGTACAGTACTGCCTTTATCTTGTAAATTTTTATCAACAGAAGGTTGCATCAGATGAGAAGGTCATCTCTGGGTAAATCTTGGAAGAGATTCTTTACTTGTTCTATTTATGAAAGTCGAAAGGTAAAAGCTGATGCTTGCTTTAGACTGGATGTTTCTGAACACTTGAGACAATAGTTCTTCCTAAGAGTTTCCAAAGATGATTTTCATTTATATTATTGATACCAAACTCACTTAAGTCCCTACCTGTAATGTTTAAATATGTACAAAGTTCACTGGTGCTGGCAGAGGTCTTGGATGTAGATAATGGCCTTGTCACTGCCAGTATTGAGGCTCTTGGGTAGTTCTTTACTCTCGTAGCTATGTATTGTGTGGTATAAAGGACACTTTTCATCCTCATCTCTCTGCTTACTCCTGTGGACACTGCATAATAGCCCAGCTACCATTTTCGGAGGATTTAGAATTTCATGTTCGTTTCATTATTTTGAATTGAGTCCTGTGATTTGTAATGTGATTTGTTCTAGTTTTCATTAGAATTATAAGAGATTTTGTATCGCCTTCATGAAGAATAAATATTTTTATCATATTGAATTGGACAAAATCTTTAGTATTTCTCCCACAAAGTGGTGCTAAGTTCTTTCTTTTCATTTTTCTCTTTGTAGCTGGAACCAGGTTTTTAAGCATTGCTCAGATTTAGTATTATTTTATTATTTCTGTCCACCTGCTTCTGTATTTTTAGAAAGAATAAAATACACACAAAAAATCTGTTTTTCTCAGCCTTTATGATTTAGGGATAAATGCTACTATAAGATAACTATATTTTGGCTATTTCCTGTACAATACGTGTTACTCATACACCCTGATCTAGGATGATGTGCATTTGGCACCAAGGCAATTGATACAAGTTTTATGGTCATCTTTACCCAGTGGAAACGAGGGTGCAACACCCCCCCCATTTTTTCAGTACTGGATGGCATCGTTTGATAAAACTAAAAAATAACATCTTGGTATTGAAGACATGAATTTTCTTCTCATTTTGACAAATGAAAATTGGCTACCCACCCTCAGTATTTGGAAGATGCTGCACATATTCTAAGGTTGGTCTTGTACTGCTAGTGGTGTAAAAGCAGTACCATACAAATGGAAGGTACAGATGGTTTATATGTAGCTACTTATGACTATAATGAATGTACAATACTTTGTTACACCCTTTATGCGAGTAATATTTCTGGATCTTTTATCTTCAGTGCTCTATTGTATCATATTGATCATACTTTCTCATGCCATGTCAGTATATCACTTACTATGCTACATAATTTCCTCATCATTGCCTGTATACAGTACTGGCTACATAAATCCTCAGGCTTCATGGACTTTTCAAATTACTGTACTGTAATTGTATAATCTAGGTGGTATCTACCATTACTTCATGAAGCAAGACTTGCAAACTTGGTGTTGGTGGCATGAAGTGCTGAAGCATTTGTTATATAGTACCTCTGGTGTCACTCTTGTCATTGTTGGCTGTAACTTGGTACTTGATACTGTATTTTTGGTAGTTACCGAGTTTTATTTTCAACTTTGATTCTCTGCTAATAATCTAGTAACTCCTATTCATCATACTGGAAGCTAGGTCACTGACCTATTTCTTGGGGAAATAAGGGTACTTCAAGTTTCATGTCTAACATTGGTACTACTACAGTACAGTATTTTAAGACATGCTAGACACCAGACCTCATGTTGATCATCTAATACCACCTCATCACCTCGGTTGGTGTTTCAATACAAGTTTTAGTCACCAAGTTTAATGTGCAAAATCAGTTAAAGGCACTTAGTTACTCCATGTGAGATTTATCCACAGTCGATCTTTGTTGTCACCAGATAACATTTGTCTTAACACACCGCAGCAGTTGTTGGGTGTGTCCACACGAGTGTACATGTTGGCGACAAAATGTATGCTTGTGTGGATGCACCCTTAGAGGAAACTAATAATTTCTTGCAAATAACTTTTCCATAATCAATATGTGATTCAAGAATGATGGTGAAATTTATGAGCCTTTTGCAAAGAAATTGCACTTTAAATTGAGCTGTCTACATCTTGGAAATCTTGCCCACACTAAGAGAAACACCAGAATGATCTGGATGACGCCCATTGGCATACTCTAGCTGAAAATATAGGAGTGAAGCCAAGAGCAAATTTACGTAAGTGTATAGAATAGTTTCATTAGTTTAGTAACTAAAGCTTGGGTTATTGCAGTGTCCTTACCTATGTGGTACAGTAGTCTGGATTGGCATTTTTACAAATTAGGCGATTCCCTCACTAGTAAAGCTTGCATTAATGGATCCAGTTTCTACCCTTCAATTTTTAACAAATTTTAACATATCCCGTCAATCAAATTCCTTCCTGAAGTCTGAACAAATGATATCTCCCACTTCACCTATTCTTTCAGACTTATAAGAACTCCAAGAGGTTTGTTCGCTGCTTCATCCAGCTCTGAAAACCAGACATCACATAACATGTCATGAAATGATTGTCTTGTAAATACATTTATTCGTCCACATTTATGTGTATCGTTTATTCCACATCAAGTGCTATTACTTGTCTTAATCCTACTGTGCTCATGAGTATGAAAAAAAAAATGCTGGAGTACAGTATAATAATACACTACAGGTATGCGATTTGATACCCTGCAATTCTGTGAGTCAACAGGTCTACCACAGATTAACTAGATTTTGGTCACCTTTATAATCAATTACCTGTATTCAGTAACCACGAAATAAATAATAAGAGTTCGCCATTGTTGATTTTTTTTATATATTGAAATAAAGAAAAAACGCGACTTGGAACGATCACTCATAATCATAGCAGTCGACTCGAGGGTGTACACGGCGACTGACTCATCTGAACTTCCATGTTTGCTCATTGATAAGATACAGTGGTCACATCTAAAAGTTATTGACATTTGAAAGTTACTGGACAAGTGGTTGTGTACAGTAACTTACAGACCCCACAAGCCTGCCCGATCCAGTGCCGATTATGGCAAGTGGATGAAAATTAGGCTTGACACTTCGAAATATACAGTACTGTACATAAAGTAAAAGTGAGTCACATACATTAGGTTCTGACCCGCAAGGGGCAGTGTGGATACAGGAAGCTGCATGGCCAACACTCCACTCATCGGTCTTCACTTTCCAAGTTAAAAAGTTAGGTACAGTACTTTAACAACTGGGTGCAAAACCAACAACTCTCAGAATATGAGGTAACCATCTCACCCCAGAATACATATTTGTGTGTGTGCTTGTTTTTACATGTACATAATGTATTTATCACAGTTCTTATGCTCCAGGATTCATACGTGAAATGTATTTTTTAGTAATTTAGTAATACAAACCACAAGGTAATGTACAAGAATTTAACTGTATATATTGTGTTTCTACGTACAGTAACCTTGACGCTGGAACTGCTTCTTGTGTACTTGTGTCTGAGATGAAAGATGTCAAATTTTGCATTTCATATTACAGAATTAACAAGTTTATTCAGAAGATACATCAGTGCAAGTGTAAATTTCGGTACAAAATATCGTAAACGTATCTATCGATACAGTTGTAGAGAAGTGTTTTGATGGATGAGTTTTTACTTTATTTAACTTCAGAAATATAAATTATATGCTATTTGCATATCACGGATACCAAAGGTTTGTATATCACGCACCACAAGCTCACCAATGGAACGTGGACTTTTAAATCTTATATTAGCTTAACAGCTTCGACCTTATATTTCTTAGACGAGGATAATGTACCAGAATTTGAGAACACGGTACCAGAATTATTTTCTTCATTTAATTCGTAAGGCTATCGGGTATAGATTAATGAGTTGTATTGTCTGTCATCTTATCTAGTCCAGATAACCTATACTTTACCTTATCTATGGGCACCATTTTTCATACAAAAATAATTGTGGAGTTTAGTAATTCTGACCGTCACTATTAGCTTATCAAGGACGTATAGATGAGTAACGGGACCTTTTTTATATTCTTGTCATTAGACGTTGCCGTTTCCGTTATTACTCACTCCCTTGCCAAGTTGTAAGATAAAATACCACCTAATATAAATTAAACATGAGAACTTGAAGAAACTTGAGCTGGTGGAATTTTGCCATGTTTAACAGTTTTCTGATGGAAATTGTCACGTAGGATACTACAATTTTGTTCATGTACCTAGTTACCTACTCCTGCTAAACTTGGTCATGTGCTTGTGTTGTGTAGTAAGATCCATGAAAAAAATGAAGTCACGTTTCCCGTTTGTCGTCACATTTAGTACAAAACAATGTCCTTTGTTTAATATTAATAACTCACTTTCGTAAATTTTACTTACTCCTTGTAATTATTCCTGAAATTCGCTCCTTCAACGTGTTTGGTTATACAGTATTTTTATTTTGTTATAGCAACTTAAGAGATGTTTGATATCCAAATTGGGAAAGTATTCACATGCCAGGTTCATTGATTTAAAAGAGTGAAGGGAGTGACGGAGACTAGTTCTTGAGGGACACTATAGCGGCTTATCTCTGAGCACAAGCACGAAAAGTAGAGAGTAAAATATATACTAATATAATGTAAAGAGGATAATTTTTTACATCTTTATTAGGATACTTTTAAGAAAATCACCCGACTCATTAAATTTTGACGGTTTATTGATATACGACAATATGTTCTTGCGTGTGGCTCTTCAGATGAATCTAAATTTTTTGTAAGCGGCGAAATTTTCCTGTACCGAGCTGAGAAGCAGAATCTTCTGATCTATCATCTCAGGAGGAACTTGTTAAAATGGCAAATATAATTCCAATTCTTTATAACATGACATGCTACTGGAGCGTTAAAGATATTTCTAGAAAGCATAGATTTCTTATAATCATTCTACAATCTTAAGGTATGACGAAGAAGTTAAGTACAAAAGAACATTGATATTCGCTACTAATAATAATAATAATCCCTACAAATTTACTCAAAAGAAAGCAATATTAAAGTCTATACAGAAAAATATTGAAGAATATTCCTGAAAATGGTGAGGAAGGTTGATAAGAAGAGCGGCCAATGAGACGTACTCACTGACACACGGCTGGGAGGAGACGTGCTGCTGCTCCTACTCTCTCTAAGTACGTACCTTATTGGGGTATAAATGGTAGTTTTCATTGATTTATATTATTCGCTATGAACACTGATTTACGCGAATGTATACCATGTAGTGGAGACAGTAATTAAAGAGTGTCTAAGGTATGATAAGAGGGAATGCATTTGTTTACACGACGGCGTCATCAGTGAAATTTTATCCTAATATATTTTTTTGGTAATAGAAGACATCAGTACTTAATTATTATCTATCATTTACGCACATGATTATTTGTGTCAAGGATTTTCAACCTATTGCTAGCTGTCATGCTTTATTCTAGGATTTTATAGTACGTGTCTTTATTTGTTGTGTCGCCGGATGAGAACCACAGTAGCTTGGGGACAAAGCGTGTTAACAGAGATAGATTTTTTTTTTATTTAAATATTGTCGCGAATTAAAACGAGAGATAACCGAGAGCTACAGTTCAGCTTGTAAACCATTCTGATTGGTTGCCATGTGGTGTTGAAGGTTCCAATTATTTTTCAGTAGTGTTTTTATAGGGTTGCCAGCATAATACATGAGTTAGTATCACCATTTTTCTGAAGTATATTTTTAATTTGTAGTTTGTAAAGCTGGAACCTCCCAGTCCACACAGATTAATTCAGGGCAGGATGCAAATGCATTACAGGAGGATCTAAATAAACTGCAGGGGTGGTCTGAAAAATGGCAAATGAAATTCAACACCAGTAAGTGCAGCGTACTTAATATTGGAAGAACAAATACTGTCAATGTATACAGCCTTAACAACATCAACCTAGAGAAGTCGACTTGTGAAAGAGACCTAGGGGTACTTGTAAGCCCGGACCCTACGGCCTAGAAAACAGTGCGTTAATGTTCGAAATAAGGCAAACAGAGTATTGGGTTTTATATCTAGAAGTGTAAGTAATAAGAGTGCAGAGGTCTTATTGCAACTATATCTTGCGCTAGTCAGGCTGCACCTCGATTATGCGGTTCAGTTCTGGTGCCCTTATTATAGAATGGATATCAATTCACTAGAGTCGGTGCAGCGAAGAATGACGAAAATGATTCCAGGACTTAGAAACCTTCCATATCAGGATAGGTTAAAGAAACTAAACTTGCATTCCCTAGAAAGACGAAGAGTGCGGGGAGATATGATAAAAGTATTCAAGTGGGTGAAAGGAATCAATAAAGGTGATATAGATAAAGTTCTTATAATATCCGAGCAGAATAGGACTCGGAACAACGGATTCAAGTTGGATAAGTTTAGGTTTAGGAGGGAGATAGGAAGGAACTGGTTTACAAATAGGGTGGTCGATGAGTGGAACAAGCTTAGCAACCTTGTAGGGGTCCGACTAATTACCCAAATGTAGCCGCAATGAAGTCAAATAATGGTCCTACATGAATAAATCGGACTGCCAATCACTTCTCGACTAGCATTTGGTGTCACAAAGTATATATATATATATATATATATATATATATATATATATATATATATATATATATATATATATATATATATATATATATATATATATATATATATATATATATATATATATATATATATATATATATATATATATATATATATATATATATATATATATATATATATATATATATATATATATATATATATATATATATATATATATATATATATATATATATATTTCTTCAGTAAGATATAATGAGAATAGAACTAAACTAAAGACACAGACATCAATTATTACTGACCCGTCTTATTGTATCGATTGATTTTATGCGGAATTCATCACTTCTACAATTAAACATCGTGATAGTTTAGATATTCGACTCCTGAGAAGGAACAACCCGAGGAGAAATTTCTATTAAAGAAAACCTGTAAATATCAATAAAAGTTGTGAGTAATTGTAACTTTCTTTTTTATTTTGTAGTCCTGACAACGAATCTGTATTGCGCACCACCTGTGTGGCTGCCATTATGAGCGGTTTGCGAGATTGCTAAAGGATAAATGTTTCATTGACAATGTTTCTGTTCTATAGAAACTAAAAACCAGCAGCACTACGTACTGAATATTTTTGTACAGACGATTATAAATTTTCCTTAAGTTAATAGTTTAACAATATGTAACATGGTTTTACAGCAGTTTTTGTATTGTTAGTATGGCAAATATATCTGGACCGTGTTTTGTATCTAAACAGCATCTCATTGTGTCCACCAACACTTACCGTGACCTAGGATTTATTGTAAATAAGATAAACCAACCTAACTTACCTAACACAGGTATTGATGGATGGGAGTGTATTATTTTGGGTTAAAGGCATTTATTGCAAGGCGTTTGACATGCACGGAATAGCAAACGCGTTAGCTATTCTGTCTGTGCAGACGCTGCTTTTGAGTTGTGCACATACACGTTCTGAGGGAAAAGCTAACACCTTGATCAGGCGTTAGCTCTGTGCAGCGCCCAAGCGGCCCAAATAGCTAACAACCAATCGGCGATTTCTCCCATTGAAAATACGCAGATCATGGCCGCTTAGGGAGAATATTTTGATTAATATTGAAGAGTTGGGGGGCATGTATGGCAATAAAAACTGTGATATAATAATTTAAATAATTCTATATACGGTAGTATGTTGGATAGGACCTAAAACAAAGTGTTTGGCGTGAAAGAATTGAAAAGGATTGCGCCTAGTTGAAACCAGTTTTTACTCTTCCCATTTGTAAGTGGGTGCTGTCCAATTTAATTACTCATAGGATACTTTAAATAAGGGTGAACAAGTTGATTACAGTTTTGTAAGTGCGAAAATTAAGACAAACGAACCTGAAATTCGTCGTATTTCGTGTCAAAATATGCGAACACCTAGCCGTGAAAGAGAGAAGAAGCGTACAGCTGCTCCGGTCGTATTGTGTGTTTTCAGAGTCCAGGAGAAATAACCTTTACAGCGGGGCCCGATTTTAAGTGTCATTTTTATTTTTTGTTGACTGATTGACTATTTTTGTCTTTCTTTCCATAATTTTATATATATTTTCTTCAATATTTCTTTCCATATTGTTTCTAAAAAATAGTTCTCCTAATTTTATTGTTTTCTGAAGACTGTGTTGTACAACAGTTATTCCCAAGACGTGGTATTGTATTTTTTAATGACAGTCCGGGAAAGCTAACGCTTTAGCTATTCCGTGCATCTTAAAATACCTTACAATAAATGCCTTAATTTAGGTACAGTAATTGCAGTGGGTTATGGTGCTATTTGTTATTAAAAATTCATATGGAAAGATTGCAGGAAAGTATTTAGTTAGTTGCTTAGCATTGAGACTGCTCACGTGACAAGTGTGTCAACAAATTTATTGTTAACATGGCAATTCCTCCAACTTTTTATTGGTATTTGAGAGGTAAGAAACAAGTTTTTTCCTATAGAAATTTTTCCTGAAGCTGCTCCTTTTCAGGAGACAGTTACCTAGATTATTACCTAAAATACAATATGGGTAAGACCAATAATCACAAGTAAACTCTTTATCGTTAATAGTTTACAAATGTGTTGTTAGAATTGGCAATAGCCTCTTGAGGATAAAATTCTACAGAAGAAAACTTGTTTCTTACCTCCCAAATATCAATAAAATGGAGTAATTGCAACTTTCATTATTTTCTTTTGTCCTGAAGATGGTTCTCCAGCTGCCATTATCAGCTGTTTGTATGAGCATTAAAAACTAAACATTTCATAACCATGGATTAAAAGAAGTACAATAATACAGTACTGTACTTGACGAGCCATACGTAAACCCCCTAATTTTGACAAATGATGTTTTGAAAGGGACAAAATTGAAACTTGTATTTTATGTAGTTTTCTAGAATATAATAGACATCCAGCTGTTATGCCAATCTGACAACATTTTAGTACCTGATCTTTTGTTGACATACACATATTTAATTTACTGTACAGTGTTAGAACAGAAGGAAACCTGCAATGTTTGGTCGGGTCACATTGAACAACACCCTTCTCACATGTGACTCAGGCCAGGACTCAAACCCAGCAACTTTACATACAAATACTTCTGACAGCTACTATGTCATATGACTTGTCCGAGATATAATGAAACATCCTAACCTACTATCTTAACCTAAATAAAATGTATTGCATCATCATTATGTGAGGTTAGGTTAGTTCATTGTGCCTCGTGTAAATCACGTACCGGTAATGCAGCATTTGCCTTTACAATTATATTTGTATAGCCTCATTTTTAAAACTTGATGAGAAGGGTTACAACTTTTTTCATTGTGTATCCTCTAATGTTTCAGATTAGAATTTAGGTTAACCACAATCATGGCAGAACATATGAAACCAGAAGATCTTCAGAGGCTAGAAGAGTTCATCAGTGCATGTAAAGGGAACTCTGAAATTCTACATCTTCCTCAGCTGTCTTTTTTCAAGTAAGTGTTGTTGGAAATGACATTTCTAGAGTAGCTGGTAATGTCAAAGACTAGATTATGATCATATTCTAAGGTACCGGTATATACTGTACACCATAGCTAGAAAATTAGAGATGCACTGTCCCTGCTCAACTGCACCCCTATAAATAGTGGTACTGACTGAGAACAACAGAACAGAAAATGAGCCTGGTGATAATATAATAATTTGCACTGGCTGCAGAATGTATGCACAGAAGCTTGGTGGCAACAACATAACTGTAGGCCTATTGTAACTGGTTCATGAGTGTTGTCCTAAAACATAACCTGCAACCCATACAGGCCTAGTAACTTTTTTGTTAGAATACATTATTACTATTACAGTGAATCGATATTGAGAGTTTTTTTTTAGTCTCACAATATGACTTTTACAGAGAATACCTGCTGAATATGGGTGCTCGCATTCCTTTTGAGAGAAGTTCCAAAACTTCAACACCTAAGGATGAACCAATGCAAGAGACTACCCCTGAATCTGATGAACCAGAAAGTGATGTTGAATTGAATAATGAAGGAGTGGTTGGTTAGTACAGGCAAAATTATATTTGTAATTGAAACTGTTTTTCTTGTACTTCAGCAAAATGTTCTTGAATTCACAATGAAATTTTTCAAAAGCATTTCATTGTCATTCTATTTCATTGATATATATTTAAAAAAAATCAATATTTCTACATAGAACCAGAAACAGAAGATCCACCTGAGCTTGGAGACAGTAGTAAGGTACCAACAGAGGAGGATATTGATGCAGCTGATGAAAAGCGGTCTGAGGCCATGATGGCCATTAGTGATGGTGACCTTCAAAAGGCTGTTGACCTTTTCACAGAAGCAGTAAAACTCAATCCAGGTATGATGAATTGAAAGTCCTTTACTGAATATGATGTTTTTTCCTGATGTCTTATAGTGCTTCCCTCCAGAATTGAAAGTACAGTAGACAACCTAGTTTATGGATGGGTTCCGTTCTTGGAGGCTCTCCATAAGCAGTAAGTGACCCTTCTGAAGGTAATCATTGAGCACACATAGTACACATAATGTACAGTATATGCAATTACTATGCAGGTAGGGAACCATTTATCCAGCAGGCTTGGGAATTTGGAGCACCAGACCTAAAGTGTACAGTAAACCCTCTCTCTAACCGACTGTGAAGCCTCTGTTCAGATCACTAGATTCACCCCTAAAAGTATTGTAGGTATATAAACATCAGTAACAAAATTCTATAAATTGCATTAGTAAAAGCATAGAGAAAAAAATGTACAAACAGCGCCACAGACACTCCGACCTCCACACAGCTTTACTTAGAATGATATCCTTATGATAAGTATTTATTTGTGTAGGATGGTGTATATAAATAATTGAGCAAAAAAAAAAGTTTACATCTAAATTACGAGTTAAAAATATTGTACAGTAGACCCTTGTCATTTGTGGGGGATTGAGATTCGTGATTTCGACAATTCATGGTAAACAGATAGTGGCTAGCTTGTGAGTCTTTTCCTGCAGCGCAACGAGTTGCCCCATGCACCCGCAGCGTCTCCTCTCCCTCTGTTCGCGCTCAACCATTGCCTGTGATGTAGCATCTCATGTTGTACTGTCAAAACTTAAGTTTGTGTGAAATGGCTCCTAAAAGACTGCCTAGTGTCAGTGAAATGCAAAAGGCAGAAGTCTTTGATGACCCTGACAAAGAAAGTTGAATTATTAGAGTAGTTAATGCACTAAGGTTATAAAGTTGCTATTCGCACTTTTGCCCATTCACACCATTCACTTGGAACCTAACCCCCGTGAACAACAAGGGTTTACTGTTCTTTACAACAATTGCCTTTATTTCTTTTATTATTAATTTTTCTTCACGTTCTGTATGTAAGATTCAGTGTATGTAACAAAAAAACTACATATAGCCAAAATTACGAGTTAAACAACAACCGTAATGTAAGAGCTCACAGGTGAGGTGTAGTTGGAAATATCTCCATTCAGCCAAGGAATTACTTGATGGTCATTTTAAATAGGACTTATGGGACAGTATAGTACAGTATTATCTGTAAAGTCAGAAATTCTTAACCTGGGAATGTCTGTACAGTACTGTAGTTTTAGGAAGTTAGCTTTGTTAAGATTTAAATGAATTTTGATCACAAATATGAAAGCTGTAATTGATCCATGTTCATTATTTGTTGTATTGACCTGTGGTATAATGGTCAGCAAGTGGTCTTAGGTGTGATTCCTAGGCAGGGTGAAATATGGACAAGATTCTTTTAAGCCAATTACCTCTGTCTACCTAACAGTAATTAAGATTGATTTGCAGACCTTGCTCTGATATAATGATAAGCCAGTTCAGTTGATGAGTTTTCTTGTCCACTTGGGTAATTACTTAGCATTGGGTCATACAGCTTGTTAACTTAAGGTGTGGTTTTTGTGTTGACCACAGCTTTTTCACCTGGTTAGGTTTTGTGAGGCTGTTTGTAACATTGAAATTGCATTACCCAAATGCTCGTAAACTGGGGTGTCCCAGTCTTGAAAAATTCTAAAAGTTTAGAGTACATTACTATTAAATGTTTTATGTTAGTCATATTACAATTAGGGTTGCATCTGGTGCTACTCAATTTTTTTGGTTTCAGTTACTTTAAGCCTTGTGATGTGCTTGGCATAAAGTGTTCTTTATAAGTAGAATTATGAATGTTAATGTAAAGATTTCCTTCAGAGTCTGCTATGTTGTATGCCAAGCGAGCCAATGCTCTCCTGAAACAAAAGAGGGTAAATGCAGCCATCAGGGACTGTAATGAAGCCCTTAAGCATAACCCAGACTCAGCGACAGCTTACAAGTACAGAGGACGAGCTAACAGGTAAAAGTTTATCCCATTTTCTGAAGTTTTATATGTTGTGTGATATCTAGTAGATTAAGGAATACAAATGACAGTAATATAACTGTGTGATATCTAGTAGATTAGGGAATACAAATGACAGTAATATAACTGTTAGCTGAGCACCACTTGCATTTGAGGCTACCAGTTGATGAATCAGAAAAATATGAATTGTCTTAAATTTTATGCCCTCACTGTTGGCCATGACTAGATATTAATCAAACTTGTACTGCCTATATTACATGCAAAATTCTAAACCTTATTTATTGGACGTCTAGGGTCGAAGGTCAGGTGTACTAACAACATTAAATTCATCATTTGTTGGAATTCTTTACACTGATCACTGTAAATCCATGTCACACTCACTCTTGAGTTGGCATGGCTCTACCACTCACCCTCCCTCCTGTAAATTTTTTGCTTTTCACCCTGCACAGGATATAGGGAGTGCCCAATAAACTATTTCCTAAATGGGGTAAATCTGAATGCTTATAAAATACAGTACACCCAGATAATTAGCGGATTTTTATTTTGCAGTCCTCTATTATTCGCCGATGACACCCTGGATGTTGCCAAGAATGTCTAAGGGTAGCTATAAAGTTACTGGCATTTTCGCGGCCGTGACAGGGAGCCATTCATTCTAGAGACTGTAATTTCTTTATATATTGTTACGCCGTCTCTTAATTTACTTAAATATCCAGGTTCTAGGCGTAACCAAACAAAAAGTGAAGTAAATTAAAAGAGAATAAAAATAAATAAAGTAAACCTTTAAGAATTTAATTGATTAAATATTAACACAATAAAGAGCCTCGTAGGCTGTCACAACAAATTGATTCACCATCGAAACTTTTAAGACACAAGTGATACAAAACATCGAAAGAATAAAAATAAAGCATTGGATTACGTTAACACTGCATAAACATATAAAAACTATCACTGAAATTAACTAACGTGAAACAACACTGAATTACTTGAATACAACTAAGCAAATACCGATGGACACAAACAGAGACATAAATAGGTACTCACATAGATATACCACATTGGTGGCGACAGGAACAACACAAATAAATTAAGTATAAGTAACAAGTAACACTCAAAGGATGTGGACTGTATGACAAGAGGACTGAACTAACTCAAGTCAGTTGGTGGGTCCTATATATAAGGTCGGCTCCCGCCACTCGACCCGCCGGTGGGTCGTTTAACGATGCAGATGGTTGTTAGAGAACAAAGAATGCTGGTTACAATACAAAACAAAGAAATAAGATGGGCTTGAACAAATAATGACAGTTAAAACCTTAACAGCACAGGGTAAGGTGACTAGAATATATAGTAGTAAATTTAACATCATTACAGGAATAATATGGAACATGGGAGCATGTTACATATAAAAAAAATAGAAAAAATTCGACACGGTCGTAACAATATATATACTATATATATATAATAATAATAATAATAATAATAATTAACGGTTTATTGAAAAAATTCTGCAGCCCGAAGGCTGAAAATATACATTGGACATAAATGACTTATTACATACATTGGTGGTTTAACAAAAGCCTTCATTAGAGAAAGGTGAAGGAACATACAGATTAATGTAGGTGTTGAACAGCAAACTCATAGTGTAGTAACTCCCTCCCAGATGGTGTTAGGAAGAACTCACGTGGTGTAGTAGTTCCCTCAGATGGTGTTATGAGGGGCCTGGCGTGGTGTAGTAATTCCCTCGCTGATGGTGTTATGAGGGGCCTCACGTGGTGTAGTAGTTCCCTCAGATGGTGTTATGAGGGACCTGGCGTGGTGTAGTAATTCCCTCACAGATGGTGTTATGAGGGGCCTCACGTGGTGTGTGTGTGTGTGTGTAAACACACAAAACACATACAAATAAATAATAATGGGAAAATCCTCTCACAAATAATCAGAAATTATTTTCACCCCTTTGGTATTGAACAGTATGACAAACTGGTAAAAAATCCACACAGAGCTTCACATTGGTAGTCCTGCTTTCCTTATAATGGGAATATGTGGAGCTACCAGTGACGCTAATCCTGTCACTTGCCGTCATACAATTTACTTTTCTGTGTAATCCTGTTTCAAAATATAAGTAAAAAAAAAATAAAAATTAGGATAAGGGAAATGGCGTCACATTCATGCTTACCAACCCTATCAAGATGACAGAAGCAGTGTTCATTTTGAAATCTTATTTATTTTGAGTTTGGATTTTGTAATAATTTTAGAATTGAATGGTTTGTGTTTTGTTGCTTATGTTGAATAAAAATACTGTAGCTTCATATAATGAGGTTTATTGTCTTTATAGATTGTTGGGCAACTGGATGGAAGCAGCGAAAGATCTGAGGTTGGCTTGCAAACTAGACTTTGATGAACAAACGAATGAGTGGCTAAAAGAGGTGCAGCCAAATGTAAGTGTTATTAAATAATTTTTGTTTTATTTTACCTTGAAACATTGTGTCCATAACTTTCCCTTTAAAAAGATATTGCATGTATAGACTTAAGTGCATCTAGTACATACCATGTGATTTATTTTGCCTGAAGGTATTTAATCCGAAGCAGTTATTGATTCTCTGTCAGAAGGCCTGAATATATTAAATGAAAACGGAACATAATCGTTAAGATAAAGGTACCTCGTTTCTTTGAGGCATGAAGTGTTTACAAAAAACTATGAAAATCAAAGTTATTACAGCTATTAGTTTGTTTCTATCTCAACAGGCTTCAAAGTTAGAGGAACATGAAAGAAAATATGAGCGTCAGCGAAAAGATAAGGAGATAATCGAGAAGAAGGAACGTGCACGTATAGCTCAAGAGGCAGCAAAGAAAGTAAGCATAATGTGTCTTAGGTTTGCTATTTTAGGTTTATTCAAGCTAAATGATAATGATCAGCAAACTGATCCCCATAAATTACAGGTTTTCCAAATCCGTGCAAGTATTTTTTTTTAGGAGGGGGGAGTGGGGGATGGCATTACTGAAATGAGTTAGGTGTCAAATGTGTCTACTTACTAATGTTAATATACGAGTACTCTTCCTCTGAACTTCAACATCTCATCTTGGCTCTCCATGTAACAGCCAAAGTTACAAACTTGTTAACCTGATTTCATAACTGTGAGTGTAGATAGGCAGCATCCTACCTTGTGATACTACACTGAGGCTACCATGTAACCATTTTTTCTTCGTACTTGAGTGACAAAATTCTGTTTACTCAGTTGCATTATTCAAGTCGCATCTGCGATACATTCATCACTATATTAACATGCGTCATAGGAGAACTTACTGTAATAGAAAATTCCCATGTACCGTATGCGTATGTTTCCCATTTCATCTGATTAATACTTTCAGGCACAGGCTGAGCAGGAGAAATCACAAGGTTCTTCATTCAGATTTCCCGGAGGTATGCCAGGAGGTATGCCAGGAGGCATGCCAGGAGGCATGCCAGGAGGTGACAGTCCTGGTGGAATGCCAGACTTAGGAAACTTATTTAAGGACCCAGATATTTTGGCAGCAATGCAGGTAAGGCTGTTTTAGTATTTTCCTGAATTGTACCATATTAGATATAGATTATGTGATACAGTACTAATATCCAAGGTATAACATTACCACTTTTTTTAAACACTGTGGCAGTGGTGATAAGAGATATAATGAAGTAAAATCAGACAGCATCTTAAAACCAGATACAGTACAGTACTACTACAGTAAGTTGAACTACCAGACACGTGCTTGTCAAGGATGTTGAAAGAATAAAAACACTGAACGATATGCTTTAATCCCAGTGGGCTAGGGTTCCCTGCTTGCAAGCACCACTAGCACAGTCAAATAATGCGAGTGTAAACATGTGAAAATATGAATGATAACTTCATATGTCTATTTTCACCATAATTTTGTATGATTACAAGCCTCTACATTTGTTTGACAAGTGATTTGTTATTAAGTTGAAATAAATATTTTCTTCAAGGGAAATTAATCTTTACAGCTCTGCTTCACAAAATATCTACAAAACTTGAAATGCATCACAGTAATGAGCAGTGTAACTTTTATGCATGCTGATTTAAAAACTTGGTACCTGTACTTTATTTATTCAGTACGGTAATCAGTGGTGAAACAATGCTTGATATTGTTTGCTTCTGCAAGATGTGGGGAAATTTCTTGTTATACCCATTATCATATAATCTTTTCTCTTTAACAGGACCCAGAAGTTGCTGCTGCTTTCCAGGATGTCTCCACCAATCCTTCAAACATCTTCAAATACCAATCCAACCCAAAAGTAGCAACTATTATCAACAAGTTGATTTCCAAATTAGGCGGTGGTGGTGAAGGTATGTCGGGTGGGATGCCCGGTGGGATGCCCGGTGGAATGCCCGGTGGAATGGGAGGATTCCCTGGTGATTTCCCAGGGGCAGGTGGTTTTCCCAAAGGACCTTCCAATCAGAATGCTTCTGATGATCTAGATTAAGGGGAATGATATACTGTCATGAATGTATGTAGTGAGAGATGCCACTGTTAGCCAAAAGTGTGGTTTGTGCAAACAATTGAATTTAGTTTACAAGGATATAGTGTATTTACAAGACAGGTCATTTATAATTTGTAGCCTCAAGGTTATCTTCTTTAAATTTGAAAGTTACAGTATTTAAAGACATCATGTAAGGTAGCATTTTTGTCTTATTTTGAGGAGAGTCGATACACAGTATAAGAATAATTTCATCCTTAATCTGTATTATTTTGTGGAACAGGTTTGCGTGGTGGTATGCATTCCTTTTGAGTTGGATACAGCTTTATTATTATTACTTCTACTTGAGCTGGTATGTACTGTTCCCTGTGCATCAATCTTTTCCCTTCATTGTAATTTTCCAATATTTAGTACTTACTCAGAAAATAACAATACGATGAATATTAAAAAATTCATCTTTAACTCACTGTTAAGCTTGTTATGGAAGATAGTAGTACTGTACTCTGTAGTATTAATAATAAAACAAAAAATGGTATATCCAAAAGGTCTCTGAACCTCCTCAGATCGAAAAAGGTGATGCTTTATTTTCCCTCTTTCAAAATTGGAACATTTAATTTTTTATTTTATAACTCCGTTGTGAATTAATTTCTTACCGTATTAGGTAGATATATACTGTATTACCCTTCTTTCTGTATTTGTTAGTTGTCCTTTAACATTTAGATTCTACTTCAGCATTGTTGACAGGATTAACTTATGAACTTTTAATATGCCTTGGGGGTAATCATAGAAGCTTTGTTTATGGAATCATATTGTTAAATGTGAAAGAAATGGACTCCACCACTTCCCTCTCAATATTATGCCCCTTGTGTGTATGGTGTCACTTCTGAGCTGAATAAAATTGTTTGGTTTTTGCCAAATAAAATATTAAATGTGGCATCCCTGTAACGAAGGGGTTAACTTCCAGCTACTAGTGTGCTGTAAGAAAATATAAAGAGTATTTATTAAGTGACTGGTTGACTTCAGTGTCCAGTGAAAACCTTTACACTGGAGGCAACAAGCTATTTTTTATAGTTAATCTTTACTCGGGCTACATTTACAGATGCTAGGGGTCTGCCACATGTTTTCTTAATTTCACGGCTTTCAAACAATAGTTTACCCAAGTCATTATCTACTGGTTCCCCCTACTTCTCTGTATTATTTCAAGTTTATGCTTACAGCCTTGTGGATAGTAAGTCTGGTATCCTTCAATATTTTCATGAATTATATTAGTATAAGTGAATTGTAATCTTATAACTTGACTGCAACAATCAAACCAACAATTTTTTTTCAGCAAATGTTTTCCATGTTGATGTGGGGTTTTCCATGTTGATGTGGGACTTTTTAAAGATGTAGAGACATCAGTTGAAATGCCTCTAGTAATTTGCTCTACCACCTTGTTGTGAATAAAAGAAAGTGTTACCAGTAAACAGGGTACTGTACTTGGATAAAATATATTAAATGTAAACTCTCGAGATATGATTCGACTCGGTAAATTTTTTTTTAAAGAAGAATGATTGATTATTTGATATGGATATAAAAACGGGTGTTATAGATCAGTAAAAAGTTTGAAAATGTATGACAGGCTGCTAATAAAGGCTTCACCAGTGGATTATTACCAAGAGAAAATTCTGCTCATAATAAAGGATGCCATACATAAACTTTTTCCATGTCCTGTCATCATGAGGCAAATACTGGTGTAATGGATTATGGCTGGCCTGTTGTATTTTATATAATATAATACAGTACAGTGCTTGTACTTGATTTCACCATAATGAATAAATTCATTACAGTATACCGTTTACAAGTACAGTATTACTAAAACATATGTTTAATAAGATTTACAAAGCTTGGGGTTTGATTTATATTAAAGAAAACTATTTACTGCATTACATTATGGATTTTAATATTTAATCAACTGCACTCTTTGAATATTTTTAGTACACAAGCCATAAACACCTGGTCAATTACCTCTTAGGATGCTACAGAACTATTTTCAAATACTGGGCACAGACAGCAGAATAATATATCTGATTTTGGCCGAGTGTTGGAAGTTGTTTTGTAATAATACAAAGAAGGAATATATTGGAGTAAGCTAGATGCCAGCCCTAATTACATGTCTCAATAATAACTGGATGTTAAAGAGAGAGAACAAGTTATAGTCAAGAACTAAATATCTTTAATATTGGCAGAAAATAAGCTTTTATTCAACTTGTTAGGGCAGTGTAGTTTGTATTGTGAACTTTAGAGTACAGTACTGTACATTAATTCATCCAGTAAACATTCCTCCATTTTGGGTTATCATTTGAGTGTTAAGTTAATGTAAGGACTGAGATCATGATTATAAATTGTCCTTTTTTTTCTTCTTAACTTTGTAAACTTATGAATCGTGTACCGGTAATTTTCAGTTTCGAATCACTATTACACAGTACCTCTGTTGAAAGAAATGGTACTAATTACAACCTTAATTTCATCCCAATGTAAAGTGTGTTTAGTTGACATCTAATAAGTATTAAGTAGACACAAGTTCAGTAAACACCATTAGCACTTGTCAACTTTGTTCTTATTAGCTGATGAATAGGAAATCATAAATTATATTTTTTGACGTTTTGATGGAAGTTCTCCAGTAATTTTTCTATGTTCTAGGCTCATCATATCAGCCTTCATAACTTTGTTATTACTTTGGTTTCACATATTTAGTTAGTATTCAGAGCCATATTTAGCATGTTAACCACTAATAGATTTTAATTAAAGCAGTGGCCTTTTAAAAGTTGGGGATATCAAGTACAAAGTAAATAGATGTTGCGTATCATTTTACCAGAATTGCAACATTTGCAATGTATGAATGTGCTTGATGAATGTAAGATTTATTCCTACTTATTTAATTTTTTGGGTTAATGGACATATTTTCTAGCTCAGTTGAAGGCCTTTTTACAAAGAAATTTTTTATTCTAATCCATCTCCTGTGGGAAGTTTCCCATATTTAAAACACGGTGGTTTGCTGCGTTTGTCATCCGAATTATGTAGTGGCTATCCACAGTTTATAAAAAACTCATGGTTTTGTATCCAAGCGGGTGAGTAGAAGGGAAAGACTGAACTATAGACCGTGCAGTTTGTTAGTTAAGGCATGAATTTTTTGTTAATATTGTTCAAGCTATTTTTTATCATGTCTTGACTCAATTTTGACATACGAGCAGTGAATTGTAGGTGCTGAACATAAGGTGCACATTCAAGTAAAGCATCTGCTTGAATAGGACAATAATATTTTCTTTATTGTTTTAATCAGTAGTGTTAATCTCTCTCTACTATTGTGAGGCAAGTTAATTTTTTTGGATTTTTTCAAATTTTAGAACATCTGGTAATGAGACTTATCATTTGTTGATATGATATAGTTTGACAGTACAGTACAGTACTTTGCATCCTTCAATACAAGTGTTATCCAGTCTAAAGTTTAAACACATTGTTTGACTTATGTCACTCACTGACCCATCTTAGTCATATTGTTATAGGAAGAAGTGTTCATAGGTGTGTATTTATAAATAAATATCAAATTGACATTTATTTTCTTCCCATTTACAACAGTGTTATTTGGTGTACACTTAATGTAAAAGGTATTAGGAGCCTACATTGTTTAAAGAATATAGTACAGTACTTTATGAATATTTTTGGTTTAAAACATTACCCATGTGTTAGTTCACTGGTGTATGAAATACATTACTTCATTGTTGCATGTTGGTACACCAGTGACTACGGGCGAAAATAATCACTAGATGAGGCTGTATATATTACTGTGTGATGTGTTGGGCCACTGGTGAGATACAGCACTACTATTACTGTGCTACGACCATGCTTAGTCCAAAGACATTCTACTCACCTCCTTTCATTACGACGCCTCAGGGTGTTCTCGGAAACAAGGCGGGGGAAACTTTTTGCCATAACTTACTTAAGCAATGTGTTAGGATGTAAAAACTGATGTCAAATACTGTGCAGAGATGGAATGGCACTATATGAAAAACAAGTCATCTGTAAGAATGGTTTGAATGTTAAGTTCACTGTGGGTAAAGTAAGGCAGTATCACTTTAGTGGATGTTCCCTTTTCCCCAAGTAATAGGTAGGATGAGATTAGGGAGTGAGGTAGAAGAATAAATTGTGCATAAGGGGAAGAGTGACTCGGTTGGAGGACCTTAATGTAAAGACTAACTTGAGGATGGAGTGCCAGGAGAAGATGCAAAGGTTCCATATATGAATTGTGTTCATCAGTGGAGTTTTGTACGACATGTTTGTTTTAAACATACACAAGTACTGTACACACACATGCATGGTATAGCCATAAGGGAAGCAGGGAGAAAGAGGTATCTTAAGTATTTCTGTGAAGGAAACTTTTTGATACTGTAATATATTATGAAGACAGTTTAAATGATCTGGAAGAAGTGTATATGAAAATTAAGTAGAATAAAGGCTGAAGGATGAAAACATTGCAACTGTACTTTCAAAAATGTTTTAATGAGAAACTAAATATAACAGACTGGGCAAAATGAGAGAACACAGTATAGAAAATGCAGTGTACAGAAACCCAGGTTGTGGAAGGAGAGGAACAGCATAATGAAATGGAAGCATTTAACATCTATGTAGCAAAAGAAAAGTTTGGTTAGAAATAGTGTATTGTCTGTAGACACCTCCACCCACAAAATAAAAAATGTTAAATACGACAGTACAGATAATCAAATGAAATTTTGTGAATGAAGATTTCAGTTGAGGATGAGTGATAACTTTTTGGGAAGTGGTCAACTGTTCTGTTCCGGAAGGTGATAAAGAAATGCAAAAGAGATAAGTTAAGGATGAAGTGATTAGTGAATGTTTGAGACTTAATTTTGATTTGTTTGATATTTGTTGGGCTTCCTGCCTTTTGGAGTTGCAATTCTGAGTTGCCCATCTCCTGGTCTCTACTACAGTACATATTCGTGGCTGGTGTGCAGTGATGAGCAGGAAGATGGATGGGGACATCTTATTCTGGTTTTACTCATAAATACGATTTACTGTAATGTACTGTACATCCTTGAACGAAAATGAACCGGACCCCATTCCCAGGGTTTTAGGTTGAAAATTGGTCTCCTATTTAGGGATTATTTTTAAACGATTCCACGTCTGGGGATTTATTGGAACAAAACAGGTGATTCTTGGGTGGCACATCTCCGTTAGGAGCGCCCTGCATGGACGTGTTTGTAGTTATAATGTTATTACTGGGCTTCAGCAAACAAGGCTTCTAAGCACGTAACTAGGTTAGTCCATCAACAATTAAAAATTATGAGACAGAACTCCCTGTCCGTGGGAGGACGCCTGTGGAAGACGGGGAAAAAAAAAATCCACCAGATGAAATCCCACAACGAACACTGTACTAGGACCAACACCTATCAGCTCGTTTCTTCGAGGATTAACACCTCATTGGCTTCCTCAAGACCCTGGCAGTTGAGGCACCTGAACACAATAACAAAAGTGCCAGAATCATCCAACACGGTTCTGACATATACGATCTCCACAATACCTCTGCAGCCCGGGCTGGGGACTGAGGATGTGGTTGTCCAAAACTGCTAAACCTGATAGCGTGAGAGTCCTTATAACAGGTTACCAGTCCACGTGAGTTATATTTCCCACGTAGAGAGTGGGTGGCACTTGAAGCATTTTGTGTTGGCCAGCAGCCACCTCCACATGAAAAAGACAATAGCGCACCAGACGTTCCCCCAATTCTTGTTGATTCCCCACTACCGTAACAGTAAATCTTGCTTGCTTGAACACACAGCGAAGAATGTGCGAAGAATGGCTAAGGTGTAGTAAATGTATGAGTGTAGAGAGAATATGGGAATGTAAAGAGAATATGGAATGTAGAGAGAATATAAAGGTAGTGGCCAGGAAACAAAAAAACAAAATCATTGAAGAATACCGTGAGGCAGTAACACAACATAAGACTGATGTTCGTGGACTGTCAGATGAAGAAGTAAGTATTAACATTACTCTTGTTTCATTGGTGACCGGGAAAAAAAATCACATTTTAGGTCAGATTAGATTAGGTTAGGTTACTTTTTCTTTGACTTTCCTAAATTGTCCTCCCTCCTCCTCCTCTCGCCGTTGAGTATTGGTTATATTTTCACCCATTTCAGTGAAGACTCCCTAACTAAAGCCACTAAGTTCGCAAGATCGTCCTAAGGTCCAAATTCTGACAAAATCTCTAATTAAGGTTTATTTTGACAAAGTCCCCCTCTAGTCCCCAGTTTGGTTAGTTTCCTGAACTTTGCCATTTTTTCAACAATATCAGCGCCTTCTATGGGGAGAGTTAGGCCAAGTATGTCCAAGCGCGAGGTTCACAAAATGGCGTCCGGTATCAATACTATGAGATAAACGTAGAAAATTATACTCACTTAAATATGACGTTATTTGGTAGCGTGGTGGTGGTAGACTAACATAACCCAAGCCAAGCCAAGCCAACCGTAACATAACCCAACTTAACCTAAATTGAGGGTGAGTGAGGAGAGGTGAGAGATATGAGAGGTGAGGTAGGAGAGGTGAGAGATACGGGAGGTGAGTGAGGAGAGGTGAGAGATACGGGAGGTGAGAGATACGGGAGGTGAGTGAGGAGAGGTGAGAGATACGGGAGGTGAGTGAGGAGAGGCGAGAGATACGGGAGGTGAGTGAGGAGAGGCGAGAGATACGGGAGGTGAGTGAGGAGAGGTGAGAGATACGGGAGGTGAGTGAGGAGAGGTGAGTTTTTTAGTTTAACAAATTTATTGGCAAAGCTTGTAGTACAGTTTGCCTATTCTGAGTAATTCAGTCAGGTCTTGACACTGAGGGTGGTATCACTTCTCACTGCCACGCAGGACAGGGGTTCATACACAAAGAAATACATCATATTCATTAACAGCTATACATGTATAGAGGTCAGATTCATGTGGGTAATGTCACTGTTCGCTGCCATGCAGGATGGAGGTTCGTACACAAAGAGATGTAGCATATTTATTGACTATATATATATATATATATATGCTACATCTCTTTGTGTACGAACCTCCATCCTGCATGGCAGCGAACAGTGACATTACCCACATGAATCTGACCTCTATACATATATATATATATATTTCATGTAAATCCACAATGAAAACGTGGATAAGATAAATCTTGATAAAATCACACGGGAAAATTCATGTGGGTAATGTCACTCTTCACTGAGGGGAGAGGTGAGAGATACCTGGAATAAGAGTGCAGAAAGTGATGGAGAAGGCATGGTGGTGTTAGAGGAGGAGGAGACGGAAGAAGAGGAGGAGGAGGAGAAACAGGAGGAGGAGGTACAGGAAGAAGAGGAACAGGAGGAGTGTCGTGCATGGTGAGGGGTAACCATCATGAGAGCAGTGTGTGGGGTGTGAATGATGACGCATCCTCACCTGCTGTTGCCGTCAATGTTTGGCTGACTGCACACCTGCCCCCCCTCTGTTCCCCCGACACATTATACCATCGTTTCATATTCATTTTATTTCCCAGTCCAGATAGTGGTAGGGGTCCAGGGTGAGGCAGGCAGGGTGAGGCAGGTAAGTGTGGTAGGGTGAGGCAGGTAAGTGTGGTAGAGTGAGGCAGGTAGTGTGGTAGTGTGAGGCAGGTAAGTGCGGTAGAGTGAGGCAGGTGAGTGTGGTAGGGTGAGGCAGGTAAGTGTGGTAGGGTGAGGCAGGTAAGTGTGGTAGGGTGAGGCAGGTAAGTGTGGTAGGGTGAGGCAGGTAAGTGTGGTAGAGTGAGGCAGGTGAGTGTGGTAGGGTGAGGCAGGTAAGTGTGGTAGGGTGAGGCAGGTAAGTGTGGTAGAGTGAGGCAGGTAAGTGTGGTGTGGGACTGTGGTATAGCGGAGTCACTCATGTCTCCTCCCCTCTATACCGGCGGTGGATCCCCGAGGGCGCCGTGACGTAATGGTGCTGGCAGGTAATAGTGTCGCCGGTGCCAAGAGGGAGGTGGGTAAGGTAGGCCCTGGGGGGTAAGGAGAGGGGGGGTAGGTGGGCAGGAGGTAGCGCCGGGCACACATACAGTAGTGGCGGGTGTGTGAGTGTGTGAACAACGAGGGCATCCCGGCTTCTTCCTCCTCCACGACTGTGCTTCATCTTACCCGGCAGGGTCCCGCAAGCAGGTCAGTTCCGCCCTTTCCTTTCCCTTCCTCCTCCTCTTCCTCGCTCCTGTTCTTCTCTTTTCTATAACCCCAAGCACTCCTTCGTCGTCTGGTGCAGCCCCAGTCCTGGATTTTGTTAAGGCATTCACAATCTTGACAACACTTACTGATACAGGACAGGAAACACAATCGTCACCCAACAAAGTCATTAAAGATTATTGCTAAGTGCGCTCCCCGGCCCGGCCACCGCCACTAGTGTGTCGTACTCAACACCAACACGCTAACTTGATACTTAATTCCCCTCACTAACATTAAATAACATTCCAGTATCACTTATTCTAATGCCTGGATGTTTCTTGCTGACTCAACTGGTACTATTTTAGCTGTGAGTAATTCCTTGATGTAACAAGAAAACAAACCCACAAATATTTACACCAGTGAGTAACCGGGTAGAAACAGCTAAGACATAATATTTAACTCGCAACAGATTTCCTTTCTCATATATACTATTTTTTTTCTCTGTTCTCATCTAAATTAGTCGGGTTTTTTTCAAGATATTCTCCCTGATGTCGTGGCATCTTGGTTTATGTACATTTCCTGGCCAAAGTCTTGCCAAGTTACGCTCCTTAATATTCCTGCAGTAAGCCTCGCCAAATCAGGCTTCCTAACGTTAATATGTCATCTATGCCACCCACCGTCGAGTTATATTTCTAAAGAGACAAGCGGAGTTTTGTTGTTTTATATATAAACTTTCGATGGTAATTTCCACGTGTTCTTGACTATACCCATTTCTTTACATTTACAATTGGTACTCACGAAATATTAGAAAATTCTCTCGCAAATTTCCTCCCAGTAAACTTAAGCATTTAGTTTAGTCTTACAAACACTGATAGTTAAATAATTCCCAATTTCTATCATTTATTTTACCAACAGGAGTTTTTTCTTACTTGTCTTACCGATTACTCGAGCTAAGTTACACATTCTATCGACAGTTACACCAAGTGAGGTTATTTTCTTAACATTGTCTTCCATTTGTTGTGCCAAGCTGCTCCCTACCTGTAGTCAGAGTTATTTTATACAAGTTAAAGAAAAAAAAACCGCGCGGGATACTTCTATTGAAAGTAAACAAAATTTTTTCCTTCTATTAGTTCAGGAAGTCGCTAGAAGACCTTGAGGGTGGTTGGATATGTGTGGTTGTGTAAATGAATGGAGAAGGACGTGGTGGTGATGATGGCGGTGGAGTGTGAGAGAGGCGACAGTAATACACCATAAAGAGATCGTGACTCAGTGTTGTGAGGGGAGATAACGCAGCTGAATACCCCCAGTAAGAGTGACTGAACGATACCGAATGATGACTGTTGTTATCTCCTGGTTTCGGTCAAAACAGTATAACGAAACAAAAAAGGTTTGAAAAGTGAAGAAAAGTAAATTTATTATTTCAACTTTATGATAATTTTGTCCAGCTGATCCATTGCCGAATTAAATTAGTGTTTCTCATTTTATTTTTACATCACTGTCTATGTACACTCGTCAATAAAAGTCCTATCGCCTCTTCTGCTGCTTCACGAACCTCAAGATACAGACTCGTGAACCCGAAGCAGTAGAAACTGATGCATTATTCTGTCTATAAATGCTTCGGATCCACGGTTTTGAATCTTGAGGTTCATGAAGCAGCAGAAGAGACAACAGGACTATACAGGCGAATCAATTTGAACTTATATGACGAATTTACCGAAGCAATATCTATCTATCTATCTATCGATCTATCTATCTATTATCTATCTATCTACATTCTTTGAGAGTGATATAACAACGCTGTGCACACCTCTTAGACACAGGTAATGGCGGAGGATGTGACTTTCTTACACGTCAGGTTTTTAAGCGTACTCGAAGACAGCTTTTGAACAGTTGTATTACGAGACATACAGCAACAACAATCACAACAATACTACCATGATGACGACCATTACCACCACCACTGATAACACCACAACCACCACTATCAACAACACTCTCACCATCAACAGCCTACATTAAGCCACTGTAATGTCATATATTATTACTTTTTTATTCTCAAGTTTATTTTGTCATAACCTACATCCTTCTTCATCACTTACTCTCGATCACTATCTGTAACACTTCACCCTTAAACAATTTCTTAACGATATCTTTATGAAAAAATTAATAATTATAAAAAAGTGTTCTGAACATTTCCACACACACAAGTACAGATAACAGTGAAACACCTCCATATAACGGGAAGGGCTAATGTTAAATTCATCAAAACACTTAACTATATAAACAAACCTTACGTAAAATAATGTATATACGTCAATGAGTCATTTTGATTAATTATATGTTTTTATATAGACAATATATACTGAAAAAAGATTAAATAGAAGAATAGTTTCGTTTTCTTCACCCGTAGAATTAGTGTACATATGGAGTTGGTACAAATAGGTTGTTCAAGACCTGATTGTTCCTGTGAACCGAGGAAGAAGGGGAGGGAGGGTGAAGGAGGAGGAGGAGGAGGAGGAAGAGATGGTGGAGAAATAGGAGGAAGAGATAGTGAAAGAAATGGAGGGAGAGGTATTCCTAGGGCCTGTCTTTGTGTTTTTAATATAAGTATAGTTGACAATATACTTATTATCACAAATGCTTGTGTATTGGGGTTATGTATGTATGTATGTATGTATGTGTAATGGGTGTATCAATATCCTTCACGATGACGCTTTGCTCTGATTACTTCCTCGGAGGTTTCAATTTGCATATTAATTAGATAATTAGCTTAATTAAGGCCGGGACGGAGGGCGTTGAGGATAGCAGACTGAGGCCTAGCGAGAGAGAGAGAGAATCACGGGACGCAATGAAAAACCTTCCGATTCGTTTTTCAAATTCTCGATACCGATTGATTTTTCTAAGGCATGGAGTTAATTTATTAATTTACACACATAACTAGCGGTCTATATATATATTGTTTACCTACATTGTTTATAATTATACATAATGAATTGTATACCTCCATTGTCAAGCCACCAAGGACAATTTTCAACATCCAACACATTTTGTAACATTTTGGGTCTAGACTGAAACATTTATACTTTTCGCCTCGTTAAGATTATCATAACCACTTATAACTTTCTTATAACTTTGCACTCATCTTTCAAAACTCCACGAAATAAATCATCGGTTTACTTTCTTCGATTTCCTCGCCTGGTGGACAATCTCTTCAAAGTTTTCTTGTTTTCGCGTCGTTTTCTGCAGTTATCATGCACCCGCGCACTTCCTCCTCCCTTCGCTGCCATATGCATGTGCTAGGGAGTAAAAATCTAACCACTTCTAATTTCTTTAAGCAACACCTAAATTACCACCACCTCCCCCTGGCTTATTTCGCGTGAAGATTAACCACCCTAACTCTAACCTAACCTAACTCTAACCTAGCATAATTCACAATATTCTTTTATCTCAAATTCCCGTTACGTCTCACCTCACATCTCAGAGCAACACGAGGAAAATTGTTGGGGATTTGACGGCGAAAAAGTAAAGGAACTCACTCGGTCTGGATGTGCCTCTAATTTTCCAATTTAAGTTTGTGCCTCGACTGTTTAGAGTGTTGAGATGGAGGGACGGGTGTGAAGACAGAGCCTCTTAGTCCCCTCCCCGTCTGTTACCTTGTTGCCTGTCTACCCTGTCAACACATATTTGATATTAGATATAGTATCCAAAATACTTCATATCCTCCCCCTAACACACAAACACACACAGAAGTGACTTAGTGTTGCGTTGATGTTATAATATATTAGCTTTAACAAATAATACCTTTAAAAGCGTAGTTTAGGTTAACACTGTAATTTCACGCGGAAAAATGTCAAGTTGTAATACTTATGAATGAAAACAGAGGAACCCTATCTTGTATCAACTGAAGAACGTACATAAAAAGAAATCCGACTGTGAGAGATATTTAGGGGTAATGATAAGTAGGAACCTGAAACCCATAGGCATTAGGAACCTTGAGTATAAAGACAGAATAAAAACAACTTAAAATATTTCGAGAGACGTAGTGCGCGTGAAGATAATGATCGAAGCGTATAAATGGAAGACGGGGTTAAACAAAGGTGATATAACAAATGTATTTAAACTATCAAATCAGAAGCGAACACATAACAATGACTTTAAATAAGACAAATTTAGACTTAGGAAGGAATTAGATAAACATTGGTTCATCACAGAGTTGTAGAGGAGTGGAGCAGTACTTAACACCACCACTAACTCGAGATCATTGGAAGGCTTTAAATATAAGTTGGGTAGATATGTGAGTGATGAAGGTTGGGTGTAAACAAGGCTGGCTAGTATGGACACCACCCAACCTTCGAGCAATTGTCTAACTTACACAAGTGTCCACGTTTATGGATCCTTTTATGTACCAAGTTTCACCGAGATCCATCAATCTATTATTCCCCTGAGATTTATTGCTGATATAATCTGTGCTGGGACATACACACACATACACACTGTTGCACTTATCAATACGACATGTATGTGGTGTCACGATCGTTTGGTTAAGTGTTGAGAAAAGTCAGTTCATATGAACCGCCGGAAAGACACAGACAGGCAAGCGTAACGTTATATGACCATTCCATAACAGTGGCGAGGAATAACAACAAACTGTACAGTAGATCGGTGACGCCCCTGTTAACACCTGGCACAGAGCTAGGGAGGAACAATAAGTGACCTTTACAACATCTCATTGGTGTTATATACAGTAACTTAACTACAACTGTGTGGAACAACTTGCTTCACATAGCCCCGGTGAATAGATCCGAGAACGACACCTATACAGTTTGTTATGAGAAATAGGAGTATAGAGCGTCTTTGATAAACTTGGTATAACGCAGGTAATTCGACGCCTGTTGACGTCATCATAGCGTAATCACAGCGTCAGGTCATTTGTTCTCAGTTTGGTCATGAAGTGAAATCAGGAAAGGTGTTAATCCCTTGGCCGTAGTAAATGTCTTAAGCGT